ATAACTTTTGAACGGTTGGTGGAGCTTTCATACTTTACTTATGTAATCATTGAGAAAAAGCCTTCCTTTGGATACCAACCACTTTGACCTTTTGTCCTTGACCTACGAGTTTGACCTTCTTTTGAAAAACTTTAACCTTGGCCATAACTTTTAAAATGGTTGGTGCTAGGGCTTTCATACTTCACATATGTAATCCTTGTGACAAGACCTTTCTTTGGATACCAACAACGTTGACCCTTTGACCTTGACCTTGGAGTTTGACCTACTTTTGAAAAACTTTAACCTTGGCCATAACTTTTAAACATTTGGTGCTAGGGCTTTCATACTTCACATGTTCATTTCTTGTGACAAGACTTTCCTTTGGATACCAACAATTTTGGCATTGACCTTGACCTTGGAGTTTGACCTACTTGTAAAAAACTTTAACCTTGGCCATAACATGTGAACATTTGGTTCTAGGGCTTTCACATTTCAAGAACATGTGTATCACTTGTGACAAGACCTTCCCTTGGGGCCCCATTTGACCTTGGCCTTGATGTTTTACTTATTTTTAAAAAAACTTTAACCTTCGCCATAACTTTTGAATAGTTGGTGCTAGGGCTTTCAAATTTTACAGGTATATTTCTCGAGGCATTTGAGAAACCTTAACCTTCGCCATAAGCTGCCATACGGGGGGCATCACTGTTTCACAAACACATCTTTTTTTTTTTTTTTTAAAACAGCATTATGACCATATCTAACCAAAAGTCTGTGACTATAGCTCTTTGGGAAATGAAAGAAAATAGTAGCACATGGAATTGAACTGGCCTTTTTATTTTCAATTTTATATTTATAGAATATGTGCCTGAATTCTAATGTTTTTCCAAATTTGAACCATTAAGTTTTGTTGTAATCAAATCAATACTGTAAGAGAAATAGCATTTTAAAGAGTTTTATTTATTACATTTTCAACAGTGAAATACGGTTATTTATTGCATAAAGGAGAAATTCTGTCACAGTGTGACAGAATATCAGAAGTGCAGCAAATCTCTCTCGTTTCCTTCCTTTCATGAAGAATGTAGTAAAAAATACTCTCTGGTCAATAATGAAATAGAGAGAGTAAATAAATCATCCTGACTAAAACTGGGAAAGTTTCTCATATATATATATATATATATATATATATATATATATATATATATATATATATATATATATATATATATATATATATATAAATAATATATATTGTAGAAATCTATGTTTACAAAGTTTTCAATCTCACAATCACTAAGTTATGATTTCTCAACTGCTCAATTATGTCATCACAGCCTATGCCAATATGCTAAGAAAAGACAAAGGTGTAAGGGAAATTAAATAAATGCAAGAAACAGAAAATTCAATATTCACACTATTGAAAATATCAAAAAATCCTGTTCCACTCATGAAATAAATTCCATATCCAACTACAAATCATTGAATATCCTATATTTATAGTTTCAACTCATGACTCTACAAAAACTAACTTAATAAGTGAACCATAAAAAATTATTGTGCATCAGTACCATTAATCTTTGCAGCATTTTACTTTACATTTATCATTATTCTTCATTTCTGATAAATCAAAAAAAATATGCTCTTGCACTGGAGCTATCTTGCTGATGTTCTCTGTTTCTTCCAAGTAGTATCGATAATATGATGTCATAATGTATATACTGGCTATAATATGTCATGTAATAAGTATTATTTAGAAGGTGAGTTTAATCCTCTGTATAACATACAGAATTATGTATCATAGTGTAGTTTTACTTGCATGTTGAAGTTTTATTGATACTGCATTATTGATACTGTACAAAGTCCATTGGAGGAATAAAATGCTTCTTATATCACTCTGTGTTAAGCCTCTACAATTTGAGAATTTCCAATAAGATTTGCCTTTGATGTCTAATGGATAATTAAAGTTTTCATCTTATCATGTATTTGATCAGGATATTAATTGGGAAAAAAAGTAGAATTACAATCATCAATCAATGAATAAATTTTAATTAACAATCCTTCCAAAATTAACATTGACTGTAGATATATAAACTAGTATTAACTTAAAGATGAAATTTAATAATTCACCTGACAAGATCTTATCTCAACATCAAATATTGGCTTATTTAATAACATTGATTGTACAAGGTCTGGTTAGGCTTATTGATCAGGATCCGGTTGCACGAACATTAGTTGAATTAACTTCCAGTTAGAGTCGTAACTAGCTGTTAAATTATTAACGAGTTACGTAACCGTCAGTTAAAAATTTGTTGTTCACAAGTCTATTAAAAATGAATTAGCTAACTTCCATTTAATTGATGTCTAATAGTTAATTCTCTATTAAAATAATTCTACGAGGCATTGAGTTTTGGGAGAGGTAATTGAAAACAATCATTAAAAAAATGTCTAAAAAAAGTGGAAAAGAAAAACACACCCGCTCCCCATTTACATGCTAAAGTTAGTGGAATTGAATGATTAACCTAATTTAGTAACTTGTCTGATGTTAAAAAATTTGTGAAACGATGATCGTTTTGATAAAATACAATGACATTTATTGTATGCACAATCGGATAAAAAAGTACCTACATCTCCACTCATATGGAATGATTTCGTCTTCTTGTTCTTTGCAGATAATATCGCAACGTATGTCCACAATCTACGTACAATACAATCTTGCCTAAATCAAATTGGGATTGAATTTGTGTGTTGCTCAAGTCAGACATTTCTATTATCTCTGTATAAGTTCTTCCTACCGCGCAAACAAGTTTTGAAATGATAACAAGTCTGCGATTTTGATTTTAATTTGTTTAATTAAATATTTAATGTACCTAGGTAACCTCAGTTATATCTGTTAGTTAATTAGAAAATTAATCAAGCTTTAACTAATAGTTAACTTTTGTGCAACCGGTTTAACACGCCGTTAAATTTAACGTCGGGTTAACACAAAGTTAACAGCCAATTAAATTTTAATTAACGTTTCTCAGCTGGATCCAGAACTGTCTCCCTAGCCCTGTTTATACATCTATCTAAAATGAAGTCATCAGAATTCATAAAGTTCAGTTGATTTGTCATTACAAAATAAATGTAGAAAACTGCATAACCAAACATAGCATATTTCAATGAAAAAGATGATCTGTGTGGCTTGTTTCAACACAATACCATATGCAAAACAATGGCCAGTGTCCATTTGCAATGGATGATAATTTGTCCTTTTATTGGTGAATTCATGAAAGGATCGGTTAACATTGTGTTTCAGCAGTAATTATGATTTCTAAGCAGAATTCTAACACTGCACATCTTGAGTTAGCAGCTATATGTGTGTCATTAGTACACCAAACCCTGGCCCTCCCATTGAAAAGTCAACATTTAACATTGGTGATTAAATTCAAAATCTCTTACACTGAGCCCAAAATCTTGAAGAATAACACTACTTTTTGCTGAATGAAGAAAGATAATTCAAACAACTTATTATATTTAATAATCATAAGATAAAACGGTTTTACAATTATAGGTCTGCATGATGACTTTAAAAAATGGCGAGGGGAGACAACTGACAATTTTAACTGTGAGAAAAAAAATGATTTCAATAGGCTGAAATTCTGCTGAATAGTATTGTAGATTACATGAACTGTAGATGTTATGCATAACAATTGTTTCAAATTGGCTCTGCAGTGAAAAAAGTACACGTTTTGCATGAAAATTGGTTTAAATTACTAGTGTATGTGGGTTCACAGTGAACAAAAATGTTCAAAGTTTGGAGATACCCAGTAATCAAAACAGATGCACTATGACAAACAAAAAAACTGATAGCAAGTGAGTGAGTCAGGAAATGTAAAATCAACAAAACACACAAAAATAAGCATTGCCCTGGTAATGTCTTCAAAGATTTATTTCTGAATGACATAAATGTTGAACTACACACCAAAATGACAAAAATACAGATAACAGACATGATCCAAAGTACTTTTTACCCATCAATGCACAGAGCAAGGCATAAAAACACCAGTGATTCATTTTGGTTTGCGTCCTGCGTAAATTACGCATAAATTTTGCTCAGAACGCATTATTTCAATAAATGTGCATCCCAATGGACGCAATAAATTTATAAAAGGATATGTACTATTTTAAATTATTTCGGTATTATCTGATTCAAAACTTGACTGATTGCATCATATCCACGTGCTAAGCGATATGCATGAACGATTTTAACAGGTATAAGGTTGCCAACAACAGGTCAGATTTCACAACTGCAGTTAAAAGCATTTATCAGAAAATATTTTGAAAGTTAGATGGCATAGTTCGATTATCACTGATTATGTCTATACCGTGGAACGTTTCTGAAGCGAATACTATACCTTTGTATTTATGCTGTAACCTGTATCAAGTTTTTTTTTTCTTTTCGTTTTTTTCCTTACAAGCTAAGAAGTATAAAATTCAATTATTTTTATTTCTGACCATTGGTTATTTCTTCTTAAACTTTTTTTTTACTTCATTCTGCTTCTGTGCATTTTATGACTGATACAATGTGTGAGATCGTATGTACGATCTAAAAATAGAACCAATGTGCACAGTGGACAATATATTATTTTTATGACACAAAATCATGTACTCTTACTTGGACAATTAATAGTAAAAGTATAAATCACTCACAACTACAATAAAACATTTGCATTTTCGCGCAATACCCTTTTTTATTTCACCAGGATTTCCTCTGTGATATCTAATATACGGTACCCTTGGATTTGGACGCATTGATTTTGGCACGGGACTCATTGTTGTCATTAAGAGGGGTCCTTTGGACCCATGATAACCATTTTCAAAATGAATCACTGAAACACATTCAAGTACTTATATAAATGAGTGAGTGTAAACAAAATCTTGGGATCCAAAGAGCAATAGCTTCATTGTTTACCATTCTGACACTGTACATCTACTTCACTGCAGCTAAAATACTAAAATATGACATCTTAGAAGCTAGAACTTACCTCCGAATCCAGAAAGAGATGACAGTGTGATGTTTTCCCATCTCTACCAGCCCTGCCGATCTCTTGGACATAACCTTCCATACTCTTAGGCATATTGTAATGAATGACCCCTCGAACATCTGACTTATCTAGACCCATCCCAAATGCCACCGTGGCTACCACCACTCTCAGCCTCCCAGACATGAAGGCATTCTGGACTCGCTTTCGTTGTGCCGCAGTTAATCCTGCATGGTAACTTTCAGCATCCCAAAAGGCATAGGTTTTTGCTCTACCTAAAAGGGTTTTTAAAAGCTTAAATACAAAAAATCATGATTGAACTATTTTCTGGTGAAAAAAAAAAATTCAGAGGGGTTGAAATGCGATCAAATTTACACCTCCACATATAGCATAAAATCAGAAAAAATAGCATTTCCATGAGATAGATAAACACGTATTAAAAGTAGGAGATAACTGCAATGAAGTTGTCTTCCATGAATAAAATAAAATCCCAGCACACAAAACCAATGGCAAGTACCAATTCTTGAATGCATTGTTTTATCTGCTTTACAAATATATCTATATTTTATCTGGCATATAACAATAAAGTATTGATACAAAACATTCAGCTTAAGTTTTCTCTGGCTTGTTGCAGAAGAATTTTGATGTTTCGTAAAACAAAATGAAAGTAAATTTAGTTGTTCTCTCAAATAATAAAATATTAGGTAAATTCCTGACCCTTCTTTGGTTTCTGTTCCCAGTCTTCAGCTTTGTAATCTTTCAGACACGTTCTGATTAGTGTAGCTAGGCGATCTGTCTCCTGTCGTCTAGTGCAGTACACAATGATTGACTCACAGGAGGAAAATCTGTCCCCCTGTAGAAGTCCTATCAATGCCTGGAAAATGATTCCATATTTTAAATCTTAAATAATCCCTTGAAAAAGGTTTTTATTTTATATAATTTTAACAAGCACTATCCCTCTAAAATGTTGTTTTCATTTTCATAAATCAAAATAAGACTTCTTAAACTTTGTTTTTCCTCGAAGGTTAATAAAATAGCAGAATTCCATATGAATTTAAAAAGTATCAATGATGCTGTTGATGAATTAAACAGAACTCTAGATGAGGTGTGTATATATATATATAATCAGAGAGAATATGCCATACATCATCCCTGTTTTCATCTCTGGATACAGATAAAAGCAGGTTTTTAGGCACAGGTGATCCTCGAATGATTGCATCTTCAATGTCAGAAATCCCAAGATGCTTTGCTACATCCTGTGAAGTAGACTGGGTAGCAGTAGCTGTCAGTCCAAGGAAACACTGTACTCCAAACTTTTCCCTTAGCACCTGAAAATTATAGTTGATATACACCTTCCATCTTAAAAATAAAGTTACAAGCAAGTGTGAAACGGTTTTATAGACATACATGTATAAAACATAAAATACTGACAGCACTAATTCATAATTGAGCTATATAGAATCTTGTCCATGTTTGCTGAATAAATGAGACGGTAGTATTTTATTTCATATAAATAAATTTATCTACTGAAAGCAAAAACATTGTTTTTATGACTCAAAATAATTGCAAACTTCATAATTTTATCTTATTCCATCAAGACTATCTTGCAAATTGCTTTTGGAGAAAATTCTTGTAAGTAGAATGTGATTTATGGTAATCTGGAGGCAGTTACAGTAAAATACTAAGTCAGCAATACCTTGGTTAGTCTTAAATATGATGGCCTGAAATTGTGCGACCATTCTGATAGGCAATGGGCCTCATCTATACACACAAATGCTATAGGGGGCAGAGAAGACCGATTGTTGAGCAGAACCATTCCTCCCCCTGCAATAGCTTCAGGGGACACTAACAGGAAGTGAACTTTGCCCTCTTTGACATTCTGCAGAACACTGTCTCTCTGTGCTGTTGTCATGTTGGTATGAAGACAGGCTCCTTTAACACCTGGAGGCAGACCAGTCACCTTCAAAATATAACTCTTGTAATGAATGACTTAATTTCTTCAAAGCAAAGCAAAATTCAATATTAAACTCAGAAAGGGCTTCAATATTTGCTTTAAATAAATTTTGATAAAAAACACCGTCTTTGGTAAAATCTAAACAAATCTTGCAATGAACATATACTAGAAATATACACCTGATCCTCCATGAGTGAGACAAGGGGAGATATCACTAAGGTGATGGCCTTTGACCTTTGAGCATACAAGTATGCTGGTAACTGGTAACACAGGGATTTACCACCTCCTGTTGACAACACAACTAGAGTTGACAATCCTATAAATGTAGAAAATAAAATCATTAAGTTACATCAGTGATATAATAAAGAATTATCACTGCTCTCTTTCTTACTGAATCGAAGAATACCACTAATGAAAAATTACAGTTGCATCAGTTTTAAGAGTCCTCTAGTGGGAGAATGACAAACTGGCCACTTACATGTAGGTGGCTGATTCCAGGTTTCAGTTCAAGAAGTCAGAGTAAATTAATTCTCATCTGCTTTTGACTCCACACTTTTGACATATTTAGCAAATTAAAAAGTTCAAATGTAATCTATTTTAATTAGTTTAATATGTAGATTGCTGAAAGAGTTCTTGTTTTTGGTTCTGTATTGGTAGTGGCCATGTTATTTATATTGTCACACAAAATCATTACATGTTACTACTTAGTGCCATTTCCAAGAACGATTGAAATTGGCTGCTGGTTACAAGTGACCGTAATGGCCGGTGTGACTGTACACATTTATAAACTCTACTTCATTTCTATGAAGCTTATCTGTTCTGACCTGAAGCTAAACTTTACTATATGATTATGAGCATGATATATTATAGATATACAAAAGACTCAAAAACAATTAAACTTCATTGAAACTCTGATAAGAGAGATAACTCTTAATGACATAAATTTCTATTATTCCTTTATAAATTTCTCAAGTAAAAATATCTTTTTTGTCCAATTTTGCCCCGCAAGCCATGATATAATTGTTTGTTTTTTACTTATAAAATACATTTCTTTTGGAAAATCATAAGAGTTAAAGCAACATTTTATATGAGTGAACATAGGGTTTATGAACCTTAAATCCAACATTTTAAAAATTGTTCTCTTTTTTACCATGTCCAGATCACCTTACCTGCCAGAATTCTTTTTACTGCATGCTCTTGTCCTGTCCTGAATGCTTCATAGCCAAACTTCTTCAATCCTTTCATGATGAAATCAGGAGTATCTACATCATGGAGAAAATTTTGGTCAAGAAAATTCTGGCACGGCTAATTATCCAACAAAAATTTCCTCTATTTTCTTATCCTTTATCACTGTACACAAGTAATACAGTATGTAAACAGTTTCTCCTCTTTGTACAGTTTAAATCTGAACATACGGTTTAAATCTGAACATTTATGACTGGAAATATGTCAACAAATAAAAGAACAAGAGGCCCATGGGCCACATCGCTCACCTGAGTAACTTTGGCCATGCTGTTCTTTACCAGATTTCCCCCCTTATAATATACCTATTGTGGCCCCGCCCTACCCCCGGGGGTCAAAATTTGAACAATTTAGAATCTACACTACCTCAGGATGCTTCCAAATATGTCTCAGCTTTATTGATCCAGTGGTTCTTGAAAAGATTTTTAAAGATTTTTCTTATATATTTCAATGTAAAACTTGGATTCCCTATTGTGTCCCGCCCTACCCCTGGGGGTCAAGATTTGAACAATTTATAATCTACACTACCCCAGGATGCTTCCATATAAGTTTCAGCTTTTCTGGCCCAGTGGTTCTTGAGAAGAAGATTTTTTAAGATTTTTCTTATATATTTCAATGTAAAACTTGGATTCCCTATTGTGGCCCCGCCCTACCCCCAGGGGTCATGATTTGAATAATTTAGATTCTACACTACCCAAGGATGTTTCAATATAAGTTTCAGCTTTTCTGGCCCAGTGGTTCTTGAGAAGAAGATTTTTTAAGATTTTTCCTATATATTTCAATGTAAAAATTGGATTCCCTATTGTGGCCCCGCCCTACCCCCAGGGGTCATGATTTGAACAATTTAGAATCTACACTACCCAAGGATGCTTCCCTATAAGTTTCAGCTTTTCTGGCCCAGTGGTTCTTGAGAAGAAGATTTTTAAAGATTTTTCCTATATATTTCAATGTAAAACTTGGATTCCCTATTGTGGCCCCGCCCTACCCCCGGGGGTCATGATTTGAACAATTTAGAATCTACACTATCCCAGGATGCTTCCACATAAGTTTCAGCTTTTCTGGCCCAGTGGTTCTTGAGAAGAAGATTTTTTAATGACCCCACCCTATTTTTGTCTTTTCTTGATTATCTCCCCTTGTAAGGGGACTTGGCCCTTTATTTTAACAATTTACACTCCCCTTCACCCAAGGATACTTTGTACCAAGTTTGGTTAAAATTGGCCCAGTGGTTCTTGAGAAGTTGAAAATGTGAAAAGTTTACAGACGGACGGACAGACGGACGGACGACGGACAATGGGTGATCAGAAAAGCTCACTTGAGCTTTCAGCTCAGGTGAGCTAATAAAAATCAAGGTATCTGGAGAAATCTACATCCCCCACTGACCCAGACTAATTTACATCAAATAGATAAAAAAAAATATTAGAACTCAATGTTTATCCTTAAAATAGACTTTGTACTTCAGACTTCAAGACAATTCTTACTCAAAACCATAGAATTTCAGATATGACTTGAGTTCTATGATATCAGCTGGACAGAATATAAACTGACCATGAATTGGATTTCAGTGATCCCATGCAAGCTAAAATACATCTGATTTTTTTTTACCTTTACAAGTGTATTCCTCCATATTAAGTACTGGAGAATGGGGAGGGGGGACTCCAGCATCTTCTTTAGCAGATCTCACAATACTGGACTGTATCTCCAAGTCTTCATCTATCTCATTCTCTGGATCTAAAATATTTTTGAAAACCTTGTCTTTTATGTTCTATATAAAACAATATGTGACTTCTCAAAAACATGGGTAATCAAAGATTATGAAACTCAACTCGATGAATGTTATACATTATAATGCAAATCTCAAATCAATTTTTTCTGGTCAAGTGCATCCTGAAATAAAATCATCCATGATTTTTTTTTCTGGGTAAGACTTTAAGTTACATGGGAATGACCTGCTCTAAAAACTTGTACTTTTCAATAACCGAGGGAAGTCAGATAGTATGCATCACTACATGCATCATCCAAACAAGTTTGATCCAAGTAGACTTTTGTTACTTTGTTATGGACCTGCTCTAAAAAATATATTCATTTGTCTAGAATATATTGGTCAGTTCCAGCGTCCGAAGCAAGTCTGGTAGTGTGCATCCTTGGATGCAGCATCACTGTGAATTTGTCCAGATAGGCTTATATAGTTACTTTTTAATGGAGCTGCTCCAAAAACTTTGCCCTGGATAATTGACGAGAAAATGTAGGTCAGAACCAGCAAGCAAAGCATCTCTTGGAGTGTGCATCTCAGATGCACTGTCCATGCAAGTTTGATCCAGGTAAGACTTATAGTTACTTGGAAATGGATCTGCTCCAAAACCTCTTACCTGTTCACTCATCTGGAAAATGTAGGTCAGATCCAGCATCTAAAGCAAGTCTGGTATTGTACATCTCAGATGCACTATCCATGCAAGTTTGGTCACCATTGGGCTTACAGTTTCTTGGGAATGAACCTTCTTCAAAAACAGTAACCTGGTCATTCTCAAGAAAATTATTGGCTGAAAATGCAGGATCTAAAATCTTACTGATACAATGAAACATACTAAATGTATCATCCATGCATCTCTGATCAAAATAAGGCATACAGTTACTTTGAAAGAAACTATTCAGAAACTTCAAACTGGGACGCCAACACCAATGTCAGGGTTATAGCATAAACTCCCCCTGACTTTATCGAGAGAAGCTAAAAATCTTCCTTTGTTAAAACCTTCATTCATGTTCTAATAGAATGCAATTTCTACATTATCAAAGGATAATTTCTGTGCAGGACTTTTTTGCACTTTGATATGTGCACCTAACTTTGGCTACAACAAATATTAGATTATTTTAATTTGCAGTTTTTACTTTTTTAGAATTTCAACAAATCCCAAAGTATTGCCATTACATGTATTAGAAAATGGCATAAATTACCCAATAAATCATCTTATCTGAAATAAAAAAAGAAAAAAATACTGAAGAAGTGCATATCTGAATGTTGCATCAATGCTGATAAATCATGTGCAAGTCTAATCCGAGATTCCTCTGACTCTAACCCCTGCTTTTACATTTACATTTTGACATGTGCAGGGGAGATTTTGACATGTGCACATGTCAAAATATAAAAGCAGGGGTTAGAGTCAGAGGAATCTCAGATTAGTGCAAGTCATACTTCAAATATTTTTGCTAAAAAGGTACACGTATCCTTTTACAATTACAAGATAATAAAATTACCAATGTCTTCATTCCAGTTTATGTCCTCTAAGTCAGCTTCATTTTCTGTTATCTTGACTGCTCTTGCTGATCCTTTTTGGTCGTTTTTATCTTTAACCTCTGTTGGTTTGTCCAGCTTAACTCCTCTGGCCATCATGGCAGCTTCCTTCAGACTGGGAAAACCCTCCTCAGAAATGGGAGGCATGTCAGCCTCTCCACCATAACTCTCTTTGTTTTCTCCTAACAATTAATGTATAAAATCTCTTTGACAAATTAGAAAGTCTTCATTTTCAATTTTTTGTTTCTTTTTAAAAAAGAGTTTTCAACATGTCCAACAGGAAGACTGTCTTGATTGTTATTTTATCAGTGAAATTCAAATTTATACATGTATAACACTATACAAACTCTATACGTTGAAAGGAACTGAAGTTGTAAAGTCACATAAAAGTGTTACATGACGTCAGATTTACAGACACAATGAACAATTAAGGTATTTCAGGGCCCTCACATCTTGATGGGCCATGAAGATGAACAGCAGCATGACTTACCCGGACATTTGTTAGCCCAGTGGCCAGATTTGCCACACTTGAAGCAGTTGTTTCCATAGCTCTCACTTCGTGACTTCATCTTCTGTTTCCACTGGAATCTCTTGTACTGAGGCCCTGACATCCCTTTGCCTTTCCTTTTATATGTTTTAACCTTCATGTTCAGCTTCACAAAATTTCCAACTGAGGAAGGAGGGGGTTTACTTCTAGAAAAATATCATCCACATTATCTTTTTCCATGCACGTGTTATGAAGATCACTTCAAAAGGAGAGTCTCAATTTTACAACATAATGTCTTTCAATTTTTACAGTTCCTAAAATTGCAGGATAACAAAATGAAAATATTAAAATTTCCAAATAATCATATTTTAAAGCAAAGACAAAATCTTTAAGTCATTGATTTGGGTCTTGAGTTGAGATCAATAAGGATATACAGTCAAACCTCGTTATCTCGAACTCAAAGGGACAGAGAAAATACTTCGAGATAACCGAGGATTTGAGATATCCAGGGTAAAATACTTAAGGAATAAGCAGATGGGACTTCAAAATGACTTCCACATATCCATGGTATTCGAGATATCCGTGTTCAAGATACCGAAGGTCAACTGTACTATACTTACTTAGACATGGAAACTTTTGGTTTTAAAGGTGCACCATCATTATCATCACCATCCACTGACTAAAGGAAAAAAATACACACACAAAAATTAATCAAGATTAGGATGGAATTATGTTTAATGTTTTGCAGTTATATAAGCATAAATGTGAATAAATTTTTATGATACTAAATTCAAAATTCTGAAATATCTCACATCAGGAGCCTCTTCACTCTCAAGTTTTCTTTTCTTGGACTTAGGATTAGTGTCTGCCTTCTTCCTCTTCCTGTTCTGCTTTGGAATTATGGGAACATCCTCAGCATCAGTAGCATCAAATTCATACACCTTAGGTCCACTTTGATATTCACTATTTTCTTTATTATCCCTGCTTTGAAAAGTTTTCTTCTTTGAGTAACTAGATTCATTGTATGAAGTTTTACTTTCACTTCCCACAATTTGGGTTGTTTCATTGTCCCATCTGACATCTCTAAACTCAGCACTCTCATTCAAGGACAAATTGCTTGTTTGTTCTTCATTTTTTCCAGTTGCTTGTTTGGGAATATTAGGTCTCTGATATGATCTCATCTTGCTTTTTCCTTCTTTTTCTTCATTCTTGGTTTCTGAGGTCCATGTATTCTCTGAATCAAACACAGAGGAACTGAGTCCATCCACTTCATCAAAATTACACCAAGCTTGTTCTCCATTTTTGCTTGTTTTTCCACTACTTTCAGGTTCATCACTCAAACTAGGCTTTTCACTGATGGAAATAGATAACTTCTGTCTTCCTTTCAAATTGTACTTCTTTGTAACATCTACATCTTCTTGCTTATTCAAAGATGTTTCTTCTACTAGAGTCTTATTCTTAATTTTCAAATTGTTGAAAATTTTTCCTTTTACCATCAATGAATCATCTGATAAATCTCCATCTGGTACACTTTCATTCGGTTTGAATTTCGACCCACTTTTTGCAGCAGTCATTTTATCTTTTTTGGCCATTTCAAACAATTTGAGACTTAATTTGGTCATCATATTTGAAGCTTCAGTTTTTGTTTCATCAACTGCTGATCCCAGAGATGTGTCAGTTTCTGATGTTTCCTGGTTTCCTTTATTGAAGTCTGTACCCCAGACTCCATCTTTTCCACACTGATATGATTCACTGATTGTTTCTTCAGCGTCCTCACTGTTTTCAGATACTCTAGGTTTCTAAAATACAAGTTTCGTACATGTACTTAGGAGAATTAATGATATTAGCACTTGGTCAAAGTTAATTTGCATACAAAGTCATTTGAGTGGCAAAACAGCTATAAAATAAACAGAATCACCAGAAAGTCATCTGTGTTGGCTCAAAAAATAGATTCTGAAGTAAAACTTTTAAAAAGTCAGTTGGCTGATAAGAGAGCTCTTTATTGCTTAACTTGATTGAGAGTCTTTTTTACAGTGGACAACAATCAACTGCATACCTGAGACCCAATACAGTTTTTCTTCAATTTACCATACTGAATGTATGCATCTAAAAATAAACAGGTAAAAACAACTTTATAAACAAGAATACAATATATGATTTTTTTGTTGCTATATTCTAATCAGTACAGACTTATGAGTATGTGGAAACATGGAAAACAAGGAGAAAAGTAGAGACAAACTCCCAATGACTTCATTCTATTAGATAACTGAATGCAAAAAAGCAATCTACAACATAGCATTGAACTAACACTACCTCCAATTTGGAAAGATATACATGAACTCAGACTGCAGAATTATCTGTTATGCTCATTAATCAAGAATCAAAACACAAAACAAGTGAAAAACCGGCATTTGCCTGAAACAAGGCTCGCCAGGCAAGGTCTTCCAGCAAGAAAATCTCTTTCAAATAAGTAAATTACACTTAGCTGGCATTAAAACCCTAATTAGACTTCAGGGTATCGTTTCACAAAAGCATCGTAAATTAAGTACTACTTAGCGAGTTACGACGAACTTAAGTAGTACCTACGTACTACGTTAAGACCGTTTCACGAAAGGTACTTAGAACTGTCGTAAATATGCGCAACTTACGAAGTACGTAAATATACTGGAAGTAAAAAAAATGGCAGACGAAACTATTTCTAAAATAAAGAAAGAGAGAAAGAAGAATTTTACTGCGAAGAGGTGGAGAAACAAAAGGACATTCTGTTTGCACCACATAAGGACGTGAATACCAACCAGAGGAAAATCCAATGTTGGAAAAACATTTGTTCCTTGTGTGTATAACATTTTATCTAAACATTTTATGCTTTGTTTACTAATTCACAATATTTATATAAAATTTATCTACAAATTTAAATATTTCATTACATAGGTCAATATTTACACGAAGTTGAAAACATTATCCCAGATGCGCCCCTCATATTAGGTATTTATGTTCGAGTTTCCTCGAAACGTCAAAAAAGGTTACAAGTCAGCATCTCTGACAATAACAATACTTCCAAAACTGTAAATTATCATGCCACAGTTTGTGATTTATCTTTCAAGAATTCATCAGAATGAATAGATTTTGGATATGTGTAACAGTTTATAGCATTTTTCAAATCGATGATTATTCTACCTACACTGCGGTTTAATGAGAAAGTAATAAAACATATGCATCAGAATGAAGAGCTCAAAGTGAAGTAATTGAATATCATGATATAAATTAGCAATCATGTCCATTAAATGATAAAGGGACTCACGAAAGAGAGGAAAACGATTACTTACTCGTTACCAATGATAAATGAAATCGTCTGCATGTTTACCTTTTGAGCTTGACCTTGACACTGTGAGAATCCCTTATGAATATATAAAAAAAGACAATATATTTGGGTTTTTAGTCCTAATTATTCGCCTTTCAGGCACAGTACACATTGCCACCTTACATAAGGTACAAGGAGACAGAATGATTTTATTTTTAATTTTCATAAAATCCAGACCCATATGATCTTTTTCTCAATGACTCTTCAACTGGTAATGCAGTGGTGGATCAAATTTTTGCTTACAATGACTGGATTTGAAAAGGAAACACTTCTTTTTTAAATTGAATGCAAAGTAAAAGTTATATCATTAGTTGCTATTAATATTTATGTCCAACTTTACCATGACATGAAGTATGAGAGAGAGAAAGTCGTGATTTAAAATTTATTTCCTATAGTCGGTACAAAGATTTATTAAATGTTATTGGTATCAGTTGGAATGTAATTTAATAAATCGCAAGAAGCATCGTTTTGGAAAAGTTGAGACAGAGTTATAAATGGTAGGCTAAAAAGAAAAGAAATGATTTTGACAAGCCGAAAAAGTTGGGGGGGGGGGGCACTATCATATTTGCAACAAAAAGCTGTGGATGGGTGTCCACTTCCATACTTAATTAACAGCTAAAGGCTATTGTTAATTTAAAGTTTTAGAATTCAAGGAATCTAAAATTAAAGAGGGGAAAGGCCAATCCATTCCTGACTACATGTATGAACTTCGGACCTGAATTAGTGAAAATGATATTGAAATGTCAATATTTCTTTTAAGAGACTTTTGACAAGGATCATCCCCGAATTGAAAAGTGTTGAATATCAGTGTTCATATGTGGATTAGCATATTATATTCACTGTCCATTAATTTTGATAAATCATGAAATTATGCTTCTTCGGTAAGGTACATGTAATTAAGGTCCGTTAGGAACCGGAAGGGCACGGGGCCATGTCTCTTCTCAATAATTTTACCAGTGAATACTATACCAAAGAAAATCTATGATAATGTAAATTCAAATTTCTAATTTGAAATTCATTTTCTATCCACCTTTGCAACTCTGAAACGCAGAGTGTAAGTGATTGAGCCAAAGGACAAATAATGACAATTTCAGAATATACGGTAAAACACGGTTAAAGCGAACAGAAGGAGGGAGGGGGGGGCTAGATCTTACAAAAATAAGCTGGAAAGTTTTTGAGTTTGGACAAAACCTCCCCCTTCTCGTTTTTGCTTGTAAACCATTTTTCAGTGAAGAAGGAAAAAAATATTTATATTGGCATCCTAGAAATAAATAATACAACGTATTCTATTTTGTGAACGCATGAATGAAAATAAATTATAAGTTTGAAAAAACCATCAAGTATTTTGCTAGATTCCTCAATAATATTTTTTTATATTAGAAGTTTCTTAACCTATTGTTGACCTATTGACTTTTTTCATAAATCAGAATAAACAGCATCGGTATCCAGGAGAGGACATCCGCTGGGATTATTAAAAAATGGAGAGATATTTCATCTCAAACTAAAAAGAAGGAGGCCCAGTACAGAAGGGAACTTGTGAGAACCGGCGGTGGACCTGCTCCTGCTCCGGCCAACTCCTCAGACATCAGTCAGAAGGTATAGCATTTGAATTTATGTACACCGAATAATTGTAATCTTAACCACTACAATGTAGCTTAAATGTACTGCACAATTGACTCTAATTATTAATTTCAGGTTGTTGCAATAATAGGCAAAACATCAGTAGAAGGTGTAGAAGGTGTAGAAGGCGGGTTTGATACGGATGATGTTAATGGCGAGTTCACATTTATATTGATTTCATGCACTTAAATTCGTACTACCGTTAACCTTATTAATGAAAAAAGTCATGTAAATTATAAATATTTGATATGTATTTCAGAGGTCGATCTCTTTAAAGTGGAGGATGTATGGCTCTCCCCTCCGATGGAATCTACATCCGAGCGAGCTGACGTCCCAACACAACTTCAATCCCCAGGTCTATCTTCTGGTGAGCAAGCCGCCACCCCAACACTTCCAGAGGCTCCAGATCACGAGAAGCAGCTTCAACCAACCAAAACGTATGGGTATTTCTGGGGGGAAAATTGAAACTGAGATGAATTTAAATAACCTTTGTATTCATGTAAAGGTCTGTGAACTAAAACTTTATAGGAAAAAAGCAGCTTTAAACGGAAGAGGTCGGTGGAAGACATTTATGACCTTCAATGCCAGGTTCTGGAACAGGAGCTGGAGAAAAACAAGCTGGAGATAGAGAAAGCTCGACTCCAGATTAAACTCTTAAAGTCATTACAGGAAAGGGTTGCAGCTGGGGGACAAAGTGATCATTTGATGGAGTTGTTCTCCACCTTGAGTCGCTGAGTGAGAGAGCAAGAGAGAGAGAATGTTTTAATACTAGTATTTAATATTACTGAGAGAGAGTTTATTGTTGTTTTGCCATATTAAATTATTAGTATCTATTAATTAATGTTATGCTGAATTGTTCAAATACTTTACCAAAAATACTTATAAATGCATTTAATTACTTTTTTGTCTTTCTCATTTCAAATTAAGTATAATATGGATAGTACAAACACATATCTATGTGAATTATTTTATTGATGTATATAGGACGTTACCTATGTAAATCGCTGTCTTATCAATTGTTCTCTGGTTGTTTTGCCGTCATTGATTGGTCCCTGGTAAGTTACCTCGTCTCGAGCTTCAACTAGTTCTTCTTCAGGTTCCTCAAAAACTGGAATTCGCTTGTCAATACAGATGTTATGGAGTTGACAGCACACGTATATAATCTTGCAACATTTTGATGGTGTGTACTCAAGAGCTCAGCCTGTTTTGTGGAGACACCTGTAAACAATTATTTGCGTATCTCTCTTGTATTTTTTCTGGTGTGCACAAAGATCAACGTACATTTGAATTTAGCTGCAGATCTGTAGCTCGCTGGTCTGAAAAAATTGGGATAGATGACCAGAGAGCTACAGTGCCACCCATAGAAAAAAAACTATATTTATTGCGCACAAAGAGTTGCGCTCGGTTCTGGATTAATTTTACCGAATTCTTACTTCAACTGCACAAAAGCTTGATTTCAAAAAGTTCCTTAGACCTCTTTTAAATAATTACGTAGTTGACATCTGCACAGAGTGCGTTGGACCGAATTATTTTGCCACCAAAAATGGCAGTATAAATAGACGAAATTTTCTATGGTCTCAGTATCAGGCCCAGGAGTTCTTTAGCAACGGTTACTAGGAATGTTTTGTTGTGGAAACAGTAAAAAAAATATGTAAGGAAGATTAGTAATATTTTGGGATGGAGGTTTGAGAAACACGGAGCAATAAATCGAGAAATAGCGCACATTTTTGTGCGCCATAAATATACATATTTCTGTGGGTGGCACTTAAGCTCTCTGGTCTGTCATTTTTTTTTCCGGAGAGCTACAGTTCTGCAGCTAATTTGAAATGGGTTACCTGAAGCGGGATTTTAGCACTCCAAAGGCCTGTTCAACCACCACACGAGTTCTCCTGTGAGACCCATTATACCGATCTTCTCCTCTGGAATTTGGATTACTAACTGGTGTCATGATCCATGGCCTTAGAGGGTACCCAGAATCTCCTAAGATCCATCCATTCATTTGTCCATTTTCAAATTTCTGCGCAATCGAACAATTGGCCCATATAAACGCATCATGAGTTGATCCTGGCCATTTACTAACAATGCTCAGAAATCTATTAGAGAAGAAACCAAAGTTGCATATTGTTCGTCGTTTTATAATTAAAAATATTACTGCTAAGCTGTACCAGTTTTTTAAGGAGGGAGGGAAAGGGAACAAGTCTTTGTGCAAATGGTTAATTTCTTTATTGTTATATTTATCATTAGAATAATATGAAGTATATTTGTACAAAAATGAAACTTGTTCAAATAGTTCTGAATTAATTTCCACGTAGAGCAAGCTGTGTTTAAGGTGCAATGGCACCCCTCTTGTACTTTAAAAAAAAATGTTGATTTTAAAACAAAAGACCTCGTATTCACGTTGTGAAGCTAGAATTTGTTTAATAAATTTTCGACAAAAATAGTTTATACCACTCGCTAAAATTTATTCATTTATTTATTGCCACACACACAATACATTAAGGGATATACATGTACGTATTAATTTATTAACTAATTTTAGAAAAAAAAAAATGATTTAACTAATTTTAGAAAAAAAAAATGATTTAAATATATTGCGCGGGGGGGGGGGGGGGGGGGGGGGGGGGGGGTAGGTCGGAAAAGGGGCTACGGTATTCATTGAAAACATTCACTAATTCTGAAAGTAAAATTAAATATTTACCCCCCCCCCCCCCCCAAAAAAAAGATAAATAGAGAATGTAAACATATGAATCAAATCATTTCTTTTAGATACTTAAGTCGCCACTGCCTGCTGCTGTCATCCAACAGTACTTATTCAAAACGTGAATTCACTTAATTGCATCATAGTTTTATTTATCTTTTACTATTTTAAGATTAAAAGTATTTGTACCACTTCATCTTTTAAATAGTGAATTAAAAAATAAAATTAAGAAACTCCTTTTCAATGGAATATGACAAAATGACAACATATGTTTTTTCTTTCCAAACCTTTCCGTTTTGTTTGTTAAAAAATACATGTTTAACATATTTACTTCATGTCATAATCAGCTATTGCCTGGACGTTGATCGAGTGATATTCTTTTTCTGCAGACGTACAAATGCTCATCTGTTACAGGTGCCGTGATGGGTATGTGAGTCCCGTCGATGGCGCCAAGGACATTAGGGAAACCAGCGATTGCATGGAAACCAACCTTCGTCCTGGTTGTCTCGGCATCACCAGTCGGAAACTTTATGTTGTTCAGTGTCCGACACAAGACATTGATAACCTCGTCGATAGATCTAATCAAAATTTAATATAATATAAATTTATCTTAAGGGCATTTTAAAAGTTTGCCCTCTCTCGATCGATCGAAAAAATGGACCGACTTAAAAATTTTTAAACCTTCCCATGAAATTTTTTTTTTATTCATTACAAAATATTTTCATCCCGTCAACACTTTTATTTTAGCTTTATCTTCGCAAGTTTTTTCCTTCCTTTATCCTTACCTTAACCTTCATCTATCTTTTTTTATCCTGAGTTGGAGAGGGCATTGAAGTAAACATTTTTTAAAGAAGGTCTAATGAAATTTGGATTAACACATCATGAAAATAAATTTTATCATCCTTGTATTTAACAACCTGCAAACAGATGGCTTGGATATCCCCAGAGTGTCTCCAATCACTCTCTGCTGGGAGCCAGAAGCAAGAAATCTTAATGCAGCAAACACTTGCAATGAAGCTGGAAGACTTCCAGATCTTTTGGTTGGTCTCTCTAAACGCTCTTGGACTATATCAATAATACTAATGATGGTCCTTCTGTCCAACCGGTAACGATGGATAATATCCGTATCGTCATATGCGTCTAGGGGATTCTGCCTGTCCCGAAACACACGCTGTCTGCGTAAATTTCGACGCACCTGTTCGTCCGCAACCCTCATGAATGCTGCCATCTTTGGATACTAACGTTACGATGTAATTTTACGTCAGCTCCAAGGTGACGTAAAATTACGTCGCAACGTACGACGCAACGTGAATTAAGACGCTTTCGTGAAACGCCGAAATTTAGCTACGCACTACTTACGTCGCACTTACGTACTACGTACAATTTACGATGCTTTTGTGAAACGATACCCAGAAACTTGGAACAAAAGTTGTATTTTCTGTACTTCGTTTAGGCATTGACAAGAGTCGCTTGATGGGTGATTGCAGTTTATGACATCTTAGATGGATTTGTTATTGGTATGCGATTCAAAATCTGACAGATCAAATGTCTATTTCCAGAGTTAACTCTAGTTATACATACTAGACTGATTATTTGAGCATGAAAATAAGCGCAATATATATTTTTAAAAGCATAAAAAGTATATAAATTAAATACCCTGAATCTCTTGTGGTGCTGTCTTGATCTCATCCTTAAAAATAATTAAAATATATTAATATTCATTGATACGTTACTTCAATACTTCTTAACTGTTGTAACATATTTTACAAATAAACATATGCACAGTCACTATTACCTCACAAATAAATCCATGTCTTGGAGAAAGAAACTAGAAATATGTCCATAGGACATGAATGCCCCGCCAAGGGTATATTAGTAATGCAACATTTTAACACAAATTGAGAAAAGTGAGGTCAAGGTCAAAGGAAAGGTCAAGGTCAAAAAATATTGCTACAGTTGAATAGCTTACATCAGTATGTATCAGCATATGACGTTTGATTCAGAAACTAATTTAAGAAAAATGAGGTCAAGATCAAAGGAAAGGTCAAGATCAAAAAATGTTGATGCAGTTGAAAAGGTTACATCAGTATGTATTAGCATATGAAGTTTGATGAAAATATTATGAATGGTTTCTTTAAAACTGAGCTAAACACTAATTTAAGAAAAGTGAGGTCAAGGTCAAAGGAAAGGTCAAGGTCAAAAAATATTGATGCAATTGAATAGCTCTCATCAGTATGTATCAGCATATGAAGTTTGACACTAATTTAAGAAAAGTGAGGTCAAGGTCAAAGGAAAGGTCAAGGTCAAAAAATGTTGATGCAGTTGAAAAGGTTACATCAGTATGTATTAGCATATGAAGTTTGATGAAAATATTATGAATGGTTTCTTTAAAACTGAGCTAAACACTAATTTAAGAAAAGTGAGGTCAAGGTCAAAGGAAAGGTCAAGGTCAAAAAATATTGATGCAGTTGAATAGCTCTCATCAGTATGTATCAGCATATGAAGTTTGACACTAATTTAAGAAAAGTGAGGTCAAGGTCAAAGGAAAGGTCAAGGTCAAAAAATGTTGATGCAGTTGAATAGCTCTCATCAGTATGTATCAGCATATGAAGTTTGATAACACTATCTTGAATGGTATCTTAAAAACTGAGCTAAAAACTTATTTAAGAAAAGTGAGGTCAAGGTCAAAGGAAAGGTCAAGGTAAAAAATATTGATGCAGTTGAATAGCTCTCATCAGTATGTATCAGCATATGAAGTTTGTTAAAAATATCATGAATGGTTTCATTAAAACAGAGCTAAACATTAATTTAAGAAAAGTGAGGTCAAGGTCAAAAGAAAGGTCAAGGTCAAAAAAATGTTGATGCAATTGAATAGCTTACATCAGTATGTATCAACATATGAAGTTTGATTACACTATCTTGAATGGTATCTTTAAAACTGAGCTAAACACTAATTTAAGAAAAGTGAGGTCAAGGTCAAAGGAAAGGTCAAGGTCAAAAAATGTTGATGCAGTTGCATAGCCCTCATCAATATCTATCAGCATATGAAGTTTGATAAAAATATCTTGGATAGTTTCTTTGAAACTGAGCTTTGAACAGAGCTAAACGCAAAGTGTGACGGAAGGACAGACGGAAGGACAGAAGACGGACATGACAAATACTATATGCCCCGGCCATATTCATGGCGGGGCATAAAAAAGTCTATCAAAGCCAAAAATTGAAAATATTCCCGACAGTTCATTCCATATCAGAGGTCATAGCTATCTTTCTTGGCATTATTAAATCACTACAATTACTTCTCGCAAAAAATATATCACTATTTTTTAGGATAAATCACTTAATTTGTGTCTTGCTAAAAATTCCACCTATACAGTATTTATAATTAATTGACTTCAAAACTCTTACCCTATGGGGTTTCCTGCCATTTTCCTTATAAAATTTTATCTCCCATCTCTTTAATAAAGTTTTCAACATTTTTATTTCCTCGTTTTCTTCCATGACAGTACAAAAACTATCTGCAAAGTAAAATATTATTTAAAAAAATTGAATAGAAAAAGTGAGGAAACATTTTTGCCTCATAATGCCAGCATTACTACTTGAATTGACTGTCGATTATCATTGCTAATCAGAGGAAACAGGGGCAGGAACCCACAATCATAAATCGATATAAACACAACATTTTCGATCATTTTATTATGAAAATAACAGATACATGTGTAAGGTAGAATAATATATTTCTTTTATAATTTGAATTTACTATCAGTTGTTTTTGTTGTTTATCAAATATTTTATCTTAAATACCTGGATGTCAAGGAGCAAAAGATCTCCAACTCTGCCAGTGAATAAATTCTGGATTTTTTCAATAAAGTTATAGGGCCATCCTTAAAAAATTGTTTTTTTTGCAGAAAAAGCTACTCATCATTTTAAATGTGAGTAGGTAGGTAGGTTTTTTTTTTTTTTTTTTTTTTTTTTGGTAGACATATGTCGGGAATGATTAATTTTAGGTGTTGTAATATTAACACCAGCATCTGATGCACCCAGATTTCTTAAACTTATAAGAATCACATATTCTTACTGAATCATTTGGACAATTGCTGGCACATTGCAAGTTGCCAAGAAAATTTTGTCGGTTTTAAAGCACGTCATCTTGATGGTGTAAGTGCTTAATATGACCTGTCTCAGCAATCATCAGGAGTCCGTCTTAATCTCATGTCTCATTTGTTTTTAATTTTGATCTAAAGACTAAATCACGAGTTTTTAAAATTAAATTTTTATAATTTCTGCAACCATAGGTGTATTTACATCCTTCATTCATCCTTCTGCATCTAATATTTCATGGCCTCTACTCTCTTTCTCTCTCTACATTTTTCTCCGATTCAGTATTTGACACTTTTAAAAATCGTTTTAATGTGAATTGATATAAAATATGTAATAAAATTCCTATTTAAATATATATATATATATATATATATATATATATATATATATATATATATATATATATATATATATATATATATATATATATATATATATATATGTGCTGCATATCAAAGAATTTTTTTTTTAATAACAGGGTTGGAACATTTAATTTTAATACATTTATGATTGATTTTTAAAATTCATTTAGTAGAGTGGACTTTCTTTAGCTTGATTTTCTTTCCTCAAATTAACACAAAAAAAGAAAGTGATACTTTATAATGACAACAAATCTTTGTGTTTCGGACAATTAAAAACACTTTCAAAAATTGGGAGATTTTTTGTTTTACCTTTGAACATCATTTTCATCCTATAAAGCTAATCCATTACTAGAACTGTTCAGTTTGGCATTTACGTAATACGTACATGTATGTATATGTAGATCTTGAAGTTGAACAGTTAAATGACAAGAAAATTACCTATCCAGTACTGAGTATATAATATCTGTGATCATTTACCGAATGTATTGCATTATTTACATTTAGGCCATCCTTAAAAAATTGTTTTTTTGCGTTAACGCAACTCATCATTTTAGATGAGAGTAGGTAGGTAGGTAATTTTTTTTTTTTTTTTTTTTTTTTTTTTTTTTTTTGTAGACAAATGTCGGGAATTATTTAATTTTAGGTGTTGTAATTTTAACACCAGCATTTGATGCACCCAGATTCTTAAACGTATAAGAATCACATATTCTTACTGAATCATTCGGACAATTCCTGGCACACTGCAATTTATCAAGAAAATTTTGTCGGTTTTAAAGCACATCTTGATGGTTAAATGCTTAATATGACCTGTCTCTGCAATCCTCAGGAGTCCACCTTAACCTAATCTCTCATTTGTTTTTAACTTTGATCTAAAGATCAGATAACCAGTTTTAAAATTAAATTTTATAATTACTGAAACCATAGGTGTATTTACATTCTTCAATTCATCCTGCTGCATTTGATATTTCATGGCCTCTTCTCTCTCTCTATCCATTTTTCTCCGATTCCATATTTGACATACTTTTAAAAACTATTCTGACGTGAATTGATATAAAATATGGAATAAAATTCCCAGTAAAAAATGAATGTGCTGCATATCAAAGATTTCTTTTTTTTGATCAAAGGGTTTGAACATTTATTTTTAATACATTTCTGATTGATTTTTAAAATTCATTAAGTGGATCAATTTCCCCCCTTTTCTCTCTCAAATTAACACAAATAAAAGGAGTGATAATTTATAATGACAACAAATCATTAATTGTGTTTCTGACAATTAAAAAACACTGAAAAAAGTAAGATTTTTTTGTTTTACCTTTGAACATCATTTTCAACGTGATATATTTATTTACTAGAACTGTTCAGTATGGCATTTACGTAATACGTTTTGTATATATAGGTCTTCATGTTGAACAGTTAAAAGACGAGAAAATAACGTATCCAGTACAAAGCATCTGTGGTCACTTACCGAATGTATTGCATTACTTACGTTTACAACTGGAAAATACGACCCGATGTTGATTCCTACTGGACTTTTAGAACTATCGCAGTGAAAAACTACATCGGATGGAAAACATAAAACGTTTCCCTTCAATGTCGATTTTAACGTGTTTAAGATAGTGATAAAAAAAATGTAAGACGACTAATATCTCAATCTTTTGGAAACCGGGCAAAGTTTTAAGCCTAAGGCGACTTTTTCGACCCAAATTCCTTCTAGCTTCATAGTAAACGCGCGTGTCAATGACAATAATCATAGATGTGTTTCCCGCGGACTTGTCGTCGCCATTTTTAAACATCGGTTTGTCGTGATCATCACAATGCTTTTTATAGTTGCAGATTGAGGAAATCAAGCGTCTCTATAATTCAGACATCAAGAAAAAAATGGTCGGATAAAAACGGAAAGTAGACACGCGTGTAAAAAAAAAAAATCCTACTTTGAATAGGTTAAAAAAAAAATTGAGTCGGGCGGATTTTGATGAGTCGGTCGCGTTACCGCAAAAAAACATTTTTTTAAGGATGGCCTTGTAGCTGGAAAATACGACCCCATGTTAATTCCAACTAAGATTTTGAGAACTGTCGCAACGAAAAACTACATCGGATGGAAAATAAAACACTTTTCACCTCAATGACTATTCTGACGTGTTTAGTGATAAAAAATGTATGACGACTAAAATCTCAATCTCTTTCTCTTGAAAACCTGGCAAAGTTTTATGCCTAAGGCGTCTTTTTCGACCCAAATTCCCTCTAGCTTCATAGTAAACACGCGTGTCAATGACAATAATCACAGATGTGTTTCCCGCGGACTTGTCGTCGCCATTTTTAAACACAGGTGTGTCGTGATCATCAAAATGCTTTTAATAGTTGCAGATTGAGGAAATCAAGCGTCTCTATAATTCATCAGGAAAAAAATGGGCTAAAAAAAATTTTGAGTCGGGTGGATTTTGATGGGTCGGTCGCGTTACCGCAAAAAAACAATTTTTTAAGGATGGCCTAGTGGTTTTACATGATTTGCAAAATTATCTGTTACCTTGCACCAGCATTTTTTGTAAACCTCTACTTTTAGCGTGAAATACACACATTTTTAAGCATCTGTGCATGCCTGTACCCCCTTTTTGGGATATGGTTTTCCTATTTCCGTTTACTCCATTTTGAGGGTTCGACCAGACTGATCAGTGAAACACTCAAATGGCATAAAAATTTACAGTGCAAAAAGGGACAAAAATTGTTAGCTCATTGCATTGTAAATCCGAATATCTAATACCAACAACTTTTGGTAAATCCCTACTGTTTTGGAGACCAATCCCTCAAAGATCGTATTAAAATCACAAGCGTCTTGGTGATCAATCTCATGAACTGTTAATAAAAACTTCATGTTGCTTCCTAAAATTGTTGCATTCAATGTATAATTATGTGAATTTACAATAATTATGCATTTTAAATTTACACCGATCCAAACGGGTTATCAATTCCCATTTGGGTGATTGGTCCCAAACTGTTGGACAGTTTTCGAATTTTGTCCTACACTGTGTTTATTTTCTTGTTTACCACTTACTTGTTTGTCGGATGAAAACAAATACACAGCTACTTAATTCAAACTTTCTTAAAAATTTGCGATAAAGATTTCTTTATTTAAAATATAATATTATGGCTTTTATAATTCGTTTTTTTCATACCAGATCATTCGGTGTGGGCTTTTCTTCTTCAAGTTCTTCCCGCAACTTTGCGTCACTTGATTTCATGAACACCGATCCCGATCGTAAAAATAATATCCTGGATGGATGTAGCGACTCGATGCTTCACAACGGCCATAATCTCAGCGAGATTCGTCGAGATTAATAAGGAGAGGGGTGAACAAGGCATGCAGAATGCCTATAGCTTCAGATATATAAAAAATCATATTCAATTTTTGAACTTAGTATTTAGAATAAGGTTCTCATTGTTGAAATTTATGAAATTATAATGAACAAAACTTTTCTGGGTAAAGATTATTAAAAAATAACTTGGTATTCTTGGGATTCGAACCCTAGCAATAAAAATCCTGAATATCACTTTCCTTTGAGACTAACACACTAACCACTACGCTACACAGCTCCTGATAATAATGGCATTTAAATCATGTTTGTGATATAACCCTTGACTAAATGGACTAGTATTTCTCGCAAAAAATGCTAATGTTGTGTTATAAAAGTGTATTTTTAATGTATGGTGGGTCTTTCCTCCATATTTTTGTTAACCAAAAAATGTACATTTTTACGCAAACTTTTAAGATAAACTTTCAAAAAATGGAGCAAAGACCCACTCATATACATGTATATCGAAAAATTGTGTTATAATCTTTTTGCCCTCTTTAGTGTGTGTATGCTATTTTATAGGCAAATGATTTCAATCTTTAATTTTGCAAATTGTGGAGATTTAACATAAAGTATACTTAAATGTTAAAGTCATATATGGCGTATTTTTTATAAGTTCAGACTAACTAAAATTAAAAAGATCTTTCTATTTGTTTTATTACTTTGTATAAAGATAGGACTTTCCTGTAAATTACACAATTTAAATCAATCGCGTTTCAAAGATATTAGAAATTTAAAATAATAACCGATTTATTTACCGATTCCGCATTTAAATAACAGACACAGTTTAAGTCAATTTAATTATGGAAACATGAGGTTATTAAAGTTCAAAATCGGTGAAAATTTTAATTTGAACGTAAATAACATATATCATGTTTATTTACACTCAGTCTCGTATTTTTATTTTTAGCTCAGATACGCCATATATAGCTTTAAATGAAATATCTCCCCCCCCCCCCAAAAAAAAAATGTTATATTTCACCTTCATGTTTGTCGCACGATAGGCATTTCGCTCGCCTTGTTCGCCCATCTTCTTTGTGCTGACGTCTCTTCCCTACAGCCTGTAACCAGACACAAGAAAACATCACATTTTTAAGTCTTTTTACTATATTACTTCCCTTACATTAAGGGCTCTCAAAATAAAATTATTATTTAGAAATTGCCCGGAAATATTTTCGGTATAATAAAAGTCATTATCAAAGTAACTAAATGTTCAAAAAAATAAATCATATATATCTCCTCTAATCCACTATCCTAAATTTTGAATCTTTCATTTGACTGTTTGAGAAAACTACATTTCGCTACACAAGAACGCGAAAGGTTTTATTAAGGAAGCTCTAAACACTGCACACTAAAGTGTTGTAGTTTTTGGGTAGTTTTATTGAGTTAGAGTGATCTGCCCTTAGAAGAAAAATAGAATATATGGGAATCTACAGTTGCTGACACAATTTCTTAGGAAATAAAGTATTCTTAATGTTATGTTAGACCAAGATTAAGTAATTGAATACATTATTTCCATTAATTTTCCCGATGCAAGTAAACTACATTGATTTCTGTTCACAAGTAGTTCATTGTCTTTGAACATTTTCTCTGCAGAAATAAGGCAGGCACCCTATGTTGAAAATGAACTAGGTACACTGAATATATGCACTTTTATATGATATATTTTTCTCAAAGTCCAAAAAGCATTTTTCACTAGTGTTTAGAGCTTCCTTAATAGATTATACTGGTCAGAACCCCCTCCCCCAAGTGTCTCTTCCTTGGTACTCAGCCTATCGTATGAGCACTGATTTTGAATTCCTTTCATCCAAAGTTGCTTTGCCCCAAGTTTGACTGCGCTGGTTCTGAAGAAAAGGGGCAGGAGATCTTGACGAGCCTGACTCAGGTGGGCTGTTCAAAAGTGTGGTTGTTTTGGGGATGGGAGAAATTACTGCCACGGTGTCACATTTTTTAGTTGTATATCAAAACAGGAGTACATATTTAATGCTCCATGTGCTCTTGTGGATGTTGCAAACTTTTGAGCACTCTTTAGTAATTCAATAAACTTTGAATCGCTTAAGCAGATCTATATTTATTCATGATAACATGAAAAATTCAGTCATATAAAGAGGAAATTTACAGAAAAAATAAATAATTAATATCTACAATTATATACATTTAGTATTTTTACAAATCTGTTGTTATTGAAGTTCTGTATATCACCATGGCCTCCAGAGACCGTTCTCCTTGCTAGATCCGCCACTTGCTCCTGAGGAGGACAATTCTGAATTGGGAGACTCACAGACAGATTTTCTCACTAAACTTCCATCAGACGATTCCTCGTTACTGGTAAACAGACGGACACGTAGATCCGGGGAAGTATTGAGATCAATGTTGTACCTTCCGGACAAGAACAACTCATCTGAAGACAGGAAATGTTTCTTCTGGGACGAGAGGTCGAGAGGGGTAGAGGTCCTGATTGGCTTCATAGCACTAACATCGACTGGGGTGGAGGTCAATAAGGGGTCGTTAATGTGTGGAAACCGGTCCTTTTCCTTTGACAAATTTAATTCATCTTCTTTGCCTTTTGTGCGTCTTGTAGTAGCGTTGTTTTCTGCAAAGACGAAAACACGAGAAGCAGAGCCGCACATAACGCTGCTCGATTCCATGACGTCATCAGTGTTAAAATTGACGTCCATGATTTCTTTGTTGCCACTGTATCCACATTTATAAGCAGGGGTGTAGAATTGTTCACTTGGGTGAAAGCTCTGATTTGTATATCCTGGTGTGTTGTCCACTGCGTTGTTTCTCGTTCCTCTGAATGGATCCATTGGAATTCTTGGTTGTGGTGTGGCAATTCCCCAATGATCAACAAAACGTTTGCCTATTGACAAAGAAAACACATATTATATTAACTGAAATGAATTAGTACCTTTTATATAAATTATATATTTATTTATATATTTTATTTATTTGATGCCTTTTTAGTACTCACAAACTGGATTTAGTTTACAATTCCAGCCAATCACCAACAAGCAGCCATCTCAATAAAAACAACATGTTTATACAATGTACATATAATACACATAGATACGGATGTAAAGGATGCCTTTCAGACATCATACTTAACAAAGGTGTTTATTACATTAAAATGTTTTTGATGTTCATTACCGAGATTTTGTTGATGCATTTCAACCAAATGTCCAATCGTCATTTCCAGTATGTCTGCTTTCTCCATTTTTGCAAAACGTTTTTCCTACATTAAAAGAAAATCATTTATGGAAAGTCTAGAAAAAACAAAATGTTTAGGAACCATTAACGTGGAAACTCAGATGAAGTATATAGGTATTGATTTTTTCCAAAAAAAAAAAAATCAGACTGGAACTACCTGGTGTAGTTTACTTTGCATGCAAAAAAAAAAAAAAAAAAAATGGGGGAGGATACATGAAAAGGTAAAGGGATCAGCAGGGATTTCAACATACATCTTTGCCTTTTGCCCTCATTACGATATTCTTCAGCTGTACGAGACATTTGTTTATCCTGTCTCTTCGCCTCTTCTCTGTTATTGGCTTGCTGCTCTAAATACAATGAAGTTAATAAAATAACGTTATTTAAAGGGAAGTATTTTCTACCAGAGAAAGTGAATATAATTTATTTTCAAAATCATTTTCATTTATTTATTTATTTTACATAATACCTTGCAATATGTTAAAAAGAACTCATTCTTGTTACATTTATTTGCCTAAATTTTGACATGTACATGTACTCAGTAGGAAATTCTCTTGGGGGGGGGGGGGGGTCAATTAATCAAGGGAGTTCGTTTTTTTTTTTTTTTTTTTTTAAAAAAAAACAGATTACCTTGGTCCCAATGATAGGGATTGTGCCATCATTTGCTGAGAAATGCTTCATTAATTTCCCACCAACTGATTTCTTGAACTTTGGAACCTCCATCGTTAATTTAACCAGGTATCAAACAATAGGTACTATCTGTTAATTTCAGTTGTTTTCTTATGATAAGGAAAATCGGTTACGATTGAAAACAAATATACACTCTCTTATATACATGTATGTACATTTCCTTGGAGTAATATTTACTACCAGTTATACTTCTTGTACAGTTAGTATAATAGTACCGTGGTGCTGTCTAGATGACGCTAATTAGGAGTTCGACACACTAATTACTAATTAGTGTAACGGACCCATGATGTACCGTTTTTCTGATAGTTTTACCCAATTCATTAATGTTGTGTTTTCTTTATCTTATTTCAATTGTTTCTTTTAGATTTAATAAAATTAACCCGCGTTTATTAGAATTATTACTATGCTCAGATTTATGAAAACAAATAATAAACGAATTTAAATTATCTCCGATTACATGTATTTGGTTACTGTGACAGAATATTCTAAGAGATCTTACCCTTATTTTACTGCCGATGTACATGGTAATATTTCTTTTTCTAAGCAATGAAGTCTATTAGTTAAAAAAGCAATTCAGCAAATACGTAGATTTTATTTCAGAATTAATAATTTGGAATGTGTAAAAAGAACTTATAGGTCATAGAGAAAAAAAATAAAAATTCCCTATTTGAAAGTGTTACCATTGTAAAATGTGAAAAGGAAAGATTATGTCAACAAACACTTCTCAAAGCTTAATAGTAAACATTTTAGTTATGGAACACAAACATATAATTATATAAAGTCTGCAGCGGAATTTTGAAAACTGCTTTGACATTATTTTAAATTTTGAATCTAATTCTTGTCAATAAATACAAAATTTACAGTTTTGTATCGACCGCAACCCAGTAAACTTGAAACTTATTATATGTTTTACCAAAAGTATGCATTTTACATATAGGATAAATATAAACTTGAAACTTATGATATGTTTTACCAAAAGTATGCATTTTACATATGGGATAAATATAATTATGTACATTTTTTTTTCATTTTATTTAAATTCAAAAAATAATAATGAATCCATAAACATAATTCTAATTAGAATTAGATCATTTGATCCGCTGCGTAAATCGTAACAATTAAAAAAAAAGCTATATTTTTATTATATATTTGTTTAATTAATTCATTTTTGTAGTGGGTGAGCGGATTAATCAGAAAAGAACCAATTTCAATGATCCATGAAAACTGAAGTACAAGTATGAACCTTTTTTTGGTGATCAGAATTCAATACTCTCCATGGGTATATTGCATGTTATTGTATAAAGTTATGTAATACAAATTATTTAGTAAACAGCGTATTGGGGAATGTTATATGTATATTTTAAAGTGTGAAAGTAATGACATATATTAAAAAATATAAATACATGTTTAGTTTGGAACTGATATATATATATTTAGATTTTTTTGAGACTACATGGAGATGTATAGGGTCTAAGCAATCCAATCCCTGTGAAAAGTATATTTCTGTCAAATAAATAAATGATAAATAAATAAAGCAAAATGGAATTTAAGGAGAGGAATCTATCTAGGCAGTAGGGTATTGCATGTTTGCTAGATTAAGATAGAACCATCCTCACAACATCAGGGGTCCTGAGTCAACGTGTTGACACAGGACCCCTAACGTTGTGAGGATGAGATAAAACGTTCTATCGTAAAAATGATATTGTCCTACGGACCCAGTGAGGGCTTGTCCCGAGACACAGTTAGATTATTCTAACTACCTACTGCCTAACGTAGTATTTATAAATGGCTTTACTGGGTATACCAAATTTCTAGAACCGCGGTCACTTTAATGTTAATTAATTATGGTTGTAACGCGCCATATGATTGGATAAAAAAAAGTTTATTTCGTATAACCTGTGTTGCATACGTCACAATGACTTGCGTCAAAAACGTAGTAATCCGCTTTACGTTACATTTGAAATATGTACGATTTGAAGGTACATGTATTTATGAAGGAGAAATTGTCTTATTTCCTACACTTTATGATGGAAAATTATATTATAAGGAAACAATTTAATAGCTGCTCTAGTTATACTGTATAACCTGGGTTGGGGCAGTTTACGCTTTATAAATCTAGAAAAAAAGGAATGAATTTAAAAGCTACCCAAGTTAAACTGTATAGCCTGGGTTGGAAGAGCTTACGCTTGTTTATAAACCGTTTCGTGGTTTATGAAGCGTAAACTGCCCCAACCCAGGTTATAGTGTATAACTTGGTGATAGCTATTAAATTCATTCCTCAAATAAACCATTAACGTTTGTAGATTTAAAAATCGTCGCCTCTATACATTTTTTTTAGCAAAGCATGAATATACTCACTTAATGTTTTTGAATTGGTAAGTAAATACCCTTAATCTGTTAAACTATAATTTACATATCGTCCTGTTCATGAAATCATCGTTTGCATTTTCCCGCTAAATATACATGTGATATTCACTTCCGGGTAAATACACAAGAAAATGACGTCACAGTTTATGTGCACAATAATATTCATGGCATGACAAACATAGCAGTCGAGATGGAGGAGCCCTTTGCGAATGACAGAGCGTCGTTTCAGCGCTTCTTAGCAGCATTTTGTAAACGCATCAACGACAATGAGGATGATAGTGAAATGTTACCATTTAGGCCTCCAACTCGCCATTTAACAATAGATGAGTTACAGGGGGAGTGTTTTGATTGGAGTTTACGTTACTTGGGATTACAGTGAGTTTGATCCGTGTGTTTTGTATGAGTGCACTGATGTAACTCGAAGAGCTTGTCATTTCACAGGTGTTTTATGTAACATGCCACTTGTTTTCTCCATCATTTTGTAGGATATCTCGATTGCAAAACCGAAAGGTTCTTTAAACTTTTCACAAATCTTATTTTACCCTCCATCTACTTGTCTACTACATCTCGATAATACTACATAAATAATGAAAATTAACTATAGAAAATTACAACAATGAATTTACTCAATATGGCATTTTTAAAGTGTAATTGAGGCAATGTCTTTATTTCAAATCCGTCATGCTGATCGAATTGCTGCTATCCCTGTTTTGTGCAACACCTGTTTTCAGATTAATTTGGCATATAATTTAATTGGCATATTTAATAAATAAATGTTCAAGATTTGTCAAGTTTCTTTGTAGAACAAGTGAAAAAGGAAGAAGATCATACATGTTAGTTTTGTATTGTACTTACCCCATAACAATTATATGTCATTGCCTTTTCACTTACCAAATGATGGCATCTCAGAAACATGAGAAATCCAGGAAGAAGGGATTTGAGTGAAAGGGGGGGGGGGGGTATTCATTGATTTATTAATTATTTTCATATTAATTATTATGATGTAAAAGAAAACCTCAATATTAAGCTTTTAAATTCTGGGGTTTTTTTTAAGTAACTGGCAATACTTGTGGGTTCACTGTTTGGAGGGTTTGCCAATGAAAGCTAACAAATCTGCTTCATTGCAGATGATGTGAATCTAAAAGCTTCAAGCTGCATCAAAAGAAGGAAAAACTGTTTTTATTAAATTAACAAAGAAGTTTTTGAGAGATTCCCTTTTATTGTTCTTTTTATTGATCTTTAAATGAACCTTTGGGGAGTTGCAGTTCATAATAATTTGTTACCAATTAAGGTTTTATCTTACTTGCTTTTTTGTTTGATCTTTGAGGCTACACACTCTTCAATTATATGTGCACTTTTTTCCTAAAGAATATACAAGTAATACTACATTTTTAACATTAGTTTTAAATGCATTGTTTTGCACAAGAGAATTGTCAGTGTACTAGATATCCTGAGGAATTGTACATGTACATGCATGAATACATTACAGTTGAATTTTGATATATCTAACATTGATATCTGGAATACTTTGGATATGTCAAATTGAGTTTGAAGTCCTTTCTTTTATATGTATTTTAATCTCAATATTTCAAACTCTCAAATCTCTCTCTTTTTTTTTTCTTCCACCAAGTTTTAGATAACAAGGTTTGATGGTATTATGAAATGCAAAATCTGGGGATCCTGAATTGAAAATTTATATCTATCAGACTCTATTGCATTTGGGATAATTGTTTTTATTTCTAATCAGACAAATCATTGATTGTTTTGTTTATTTTAATAAGTTGTTCAAGTATAATTTTAACAGTGAAAAGTGTTTAATTTGAAAGAGGAAAGCAAAAATCTTTTCCTTCCTTTAAAATCAATAGTACATGTATTTTTTTTTTTTTTTTTTTTTTTTGATCACTGTAAATTATATGTTGCATAACATATGACACATTTTTTTTACCTGTGCTAATAATGTTCAGTTGCAGTCTGATTTTAAACAATCTGGGTCTTAAGCATAAAAAGAAAGGTAGCATTGAAGAAGGATAAAGAACAACTTTTATATGTATATATTTATATTACTCTGTTGAATAAAGGAAGATGAATGTTGAGGGGGTATTTCCTGAGCATTACAGCTTCGCTGTGTTTCCTCATCACACGGAAGAGGTTTGACAAGCAATTCAGCATTTACTATTTATAGAACGCATGCTGATTCTTGACAAATCATAGTTCTGTATTAATAATTGAGTATGTAGATAACAACTTTATTTCCAGAGTTATACTGATTGTAACAGATTCCAAATGTCTTAGTTAATGGAAGCAATAGTGGTAGCTGCATTAATTTTCCTTGACAAGAGAGTTATATATGATCCTATGTAGATAGAGTTCAGTATGCTCTAGGCAGGTGCTTGTCCCAATTTACATACTGCAGATTGATGCAGTTAACGCCAATAACAGTCAATCACCTTATTAGCTTTTTTATGGGGACTATGGGAAACATAATGCATTTTACTATGTGTACTTTGTGCATATATTGCATGAAACACCCATTATAATATGCTTAAAATTTACAATCAATTCAGTAGTTTAATGTACTACATTATTTATATTCTCCTTGACCAACATCACAAAATTAGTTAAAAAAAGGTACAGTAATGAAATATTTCATGTACATTGTATACAAAGTTTTGCCGAGTAATATTTTAAACAATCAACATAGTATTAATTTTCAGAACAATGCATGTACAAGCTAAGATTTTGTCACTTTGGTGCACAATAAATTTCCATGCATTGACTGTCGATCTACTAACTTTTAACAGTCAGAGCATATGTAGAATTTTATTTTTAAACTCTAGAGCATTTTTAATATGCATTACATTAAAATATTATGTAGGTGACTGCTTGCATCGAGGACTTTGGAAGTAAATTACCATTTAAAAACTGCGACATGTTCAAATTATGGGCATGTTTATCATTCACACAGTTACTATATTTAGCTTATCCAAGATAAAATTTAATGAGAAGAAAAATGCCATTCCAAATTATGCAAAGCAGAAATATAAGTTATTTCATGTAACTCTCTATATTACTGTGGATAACACTTAGACAGATCAGTGTTGTATTAAATTAGAGAAAAATGTTTTATCCAAAAAAATAAATATATGTGTCATATTGATTAGCAGGACATCTTGATAAGTGATAAGTACATTTTAGAATGGGAAAAAAGTAATTTACAGGGATGGAATGAATAATTTTTTCCTAGGAGAGATCCTTAACTTGTCAAAAAATGTTCCAATCCAAATATTTCCTAACAAGTTAAAAAAAGAAGTGTGTGTGGGGGTGGGGGGGGGGGGGGTCTATCTTTGATAAAGTCCTAGGAAAGATCATGTTTTCCTTGGATAGAAACTTTCTGTGTAGCTCCAATAACACTACATGTAAATGCAAGGAGGAATAGAAATATGGTGTTCTGACCAATGGGTCTGCCAAGGATGCTATGTACATGTCCATATGATAAAAACAGAGTTTATTTATAAGAAAGAAGTGTATCAGTGATTTATTTTGTTTAGGTATTGTCTTTTTATGGAATTGGATGTGTACAAAATACAGAAAACAATTTTTTTTTTTCATATTTACTTTTGAATGTGCAATATAGAGGATATATGCCTGTTTGTCCATCTGTTTTAAAGGCTTTGACAGCATCCTTAGTGCTTCTGGTATAAATGCAGGATCAGTAACAAAAGCAAATTCCCTTCCTGTACTACATGATCAGATTATGTGTTTTACTTATAGAATGTATAAAGATGGGAAGTGTACTCAGATCATATTTTTTTTAAATGAAGAACTTATCTTTTAGCCTAGTTTAAAGATTTTCTATAAAGTTAAGATAAAAAGACTCTTTTGACCTCATCCACACAGTTTATTCCAATCCAGCCACTCTTCAAACAAGATTAGAGAGCAAACTATTGGAGTCATGCCTAATGTTTATCGCACATGTTAATCTTGAAGCAATAGGTTTCAAGGGCATATGTTTTTTACGAGATCATCACAGGTTTTCCTTTATGGAGTATCTCCAATTTAAAATGCTTTAGGTGACCACCGACTTGGGTTTTATTAAAACTCTGTATGTTTCTGGCTAAAGGTCTGAGTTTCAATGTTTATTTAAAATTTTAAAATGTGAGGCACTACCGTAATTAATCTTTATTCAATGTTTGGTATATCCACCCCCCTGCAGAGCATATTTGTATCTCCTACACTTGAAAGGTGTACACATATGTATGGCCTGAAAATTAACCATTAATGCTTTAATATATATACAGCCTGTACATCCGTGGCAAGGAGTTCATTGTCCAGAGCATGTACATCTACATACATCCACATACATCCACATAAAATTGAGCCTTATCTTTTCATTTACATAATTGATCAAACTTCATTATTAAGGCTTGGTGGTCTGTGTTGAAATAGAAAGGCATTAGAAATTGATTTTGTGTATTGATCAGAAAAATGTACGGTGTGTATTGCAAATCAAAGATTATTTTTAATCCATTTATGGAGAGTTAATAATGAATGCAAATTTGGTAACACTTAAATGAACTTAGTATGGTTCATTTTATACCGCAAATGCATATCCTAACTAAAAGTGTGTACTAATCTGTGATAAACCATATATGGTATGTGTATGTATATTCATCTTCCAGCTAGTATATGTCATCCTGCTTGACTTTAAGATCATACATGTATAAGGTTTTTGTAATTAATTTGCTATGAGAGAGTCAATACATGTATACATTATCACGGAGATCTTGCTACAGCATGTAAAGTGTACATGTATATGTGGCACCTTCTTTCCAAGCCCTAGTGTTACTTTATCATGTTTATGATACTGAGAGCAAGAGAATAACATGTTTAATTCTCTGCTTCATATATTACAGTATTGTAGGAACATGATTTTTATGCTCCCTTTCGAAGAAGGGAGGGCATATTGCTTTGCTGCTGTCTCGGTCTGTTGGTCCATCAACAGTTTCCGTTCTTTTTCTTCGCAGAGGTTGCACATGCTGAAATGAAATTTGGTATACAGATTTATCATAAGAATATATAGGTCAAGTTCTGTTTTGGGTACAATCAAGCAATTTTTGACAGATTTATGCCCCTTGGACTTCGAAAAATTCCAATTATTTGCAATTTCTGTTCTTTTTCTTCTCAGAGGTTTCACATACTGAAATTAAATTTGGTATACAGATTTATCATAAGAATATCTAGGTCAAGTTCTGTTTTGGCTACGATTGAGCAATTTTTGACAGAGTTACTTGGACTTAGAAAAATTCTAATTATTTGGGGGGCAGGGGGCATAAGTGTGTCATAAGTGTTTCTTGTTAGCAATCTAAATGGATACCTGTTAGAGATTGCCTTGTCTGACTGTTAATTTATAGGACTAATTTATACGCTAGTCACTCTCTTGTAGAAATTGTCCACCTACTCTTGCTGCAGCCATCACTAAAGAAGTCTATGAACAGTCCACTAAGATAGACTTCAAAGAGTTTGAAGACCAGACTCCGGACCCCGAAGAAGATTCCAACAGGGAGAAGAATGTCAAGAATGAAATCCAGCGTCCTGAGTCAGGTAGTTTAATAGGAGACTGGACCATTTAAAATCCATCAAAAAACCAAATATTCACTTGCTGAATTAGTAGACATTGAGCTATTTTTTTAAACACATGAACTCTCTCTTAGTATTTAATCATAAAGATTGTTTATCACTGTGTATTTGGAGACAGGGATTGAACTTAATGTGTTCATGCACTAGCTTGCATGGCTTCTAAAGTACTGTAGGTACTTGTACATCTAAAATCTTAAAATTGTACAAATATTAAGAATCTAGTTTGAAATAAGAAAATCTATTTTGTAAAATGATTTTTTTTGTATATTAGTTGTCAGTGATGTCTTTTATAGTTCTGGATGCTTCGTCACTCATGGAACACATCATTGACATTGTGGATGAAGTGTGTCAAAAATGGAACAAAGACTTGCCAGATATTCCAATTCCTGCTCAGGTTCATGAATGCTACCATTATGAAATTAAAAATACTCGACGTAAAATGGAGGACAGATATGTGATGCTTCCAGACATGAATACACTGTTTGATCTCAAGGTGTGCTTCCCAATCCATCTGTGAAAGAAATGACTCAGAAATCATTAAAATTTAATCTATAAGTTTTTGTGTTTTAGTTGGAGGTTGTTATGTAAGTTAACCATTCTGTTGCAAGTGCATTTAATTAGTGAAGCTTGAATTATCTTTTAATTCAGAGAAAATCATTCAAGAAGTTTGAGAACTTCAATGCCATTCAAATGAATACTGAACAAAATTAACTGGTCTTATAAGACTTTATTGCAGAATTTTCTTTGTTATAAGAGTTATTATTAATAACATGAGGTTCTTAGAAGTAATATCTCAAATATGAATTGATAATGTATAATTTCAGGATTTCCCACAGCAGTCCTATTACAGTGTGTTTGATGGGCACGCCGGGATTGAAGCAGCTGTCTATGCCTCCAATCACCTACATGTACATCTGCCCACCTGTGAGAAGTTCTCCAGTGACCCAGCATCTGCCCTGAAGTGTTCATACTCAGCAACAGATGAACATTTCATTAAAAAAGCTCAAAGAGAGGTTTGACTCTGCTTTAAATAATATTTATATTACGTCATTCAATTAGTAAGATATATTTTCTGAGTTACCTCCCTTTGAAGAATGGCTAAACATGAGATGATTCAGTTAAATAAGTATGTATGATCCATGGGATTTAAGGTAGAAAGAACAGCATTAAATTGTCATAATTGATGATGCTTGTATTTAACCAATGTATTACAGTTGCAATTGCTTTGATATATAATTTTGTGTTCAAACAAAAAACACTATCTCCCTGAGAATTTGAAATTTTGATGTTTTTTTAGGGTTTAAAAAGTGGCTGCACTGGATTAACAGTGTTGATCCGAGATAAAACTATGTATGTAGCTTGGCTGGGGGACTCACAGGCGTGTCTGGTCAGGGACGGTCAGGCAGTGTCCATCATGAATCCTCATAAACCAGAGAGACAGGTAAAGGAATGGTTATGCCCTGTCAATAAATGTAGTCAGGAGTTCAGTTGTCATTTTCTATCATATTATCTTGCTTGTACTGGAACCACATTTAAATAAGTCTACATGTTTTGTTCATCACATGTTAATAATCAACACTTAGCCCAGAACAAAAATTTGTGAAATTTATCTCTAGTGGATGTGCCCAAGGGTTGGCAGAGTAAAAATGCATCAAATCTAAGAAAATCTTCATTCATGGATATGTAGTAAAGGAGCTGTTTGCATCAGTAAACAGAACAATGACCTGTCTCACAAAATTATGAAATGGCATCCTGTGGTCCAGGCTTCATGCCCCATGGTGGGGCTAAAGTTTATTAAAAGCAATAAATCTTCTTTACTTCTGGAAATCTATTTATGTGATTATATTAATCAATGGAACATCTAAAACTACCGGTACTGTTAATGGAATTTAGATATAAAAATCATGCTCCAAGATAAATCATTATCTTAAAATGCATTAAATCTTCAGAAATCTTCTTATTTACTCCTAAACATGTAGCAGACAAACTGCTTAAATGATTAATCTGAGAAATTAGCCCGAGATCTTCAGAGATAGTAAAATTCCCTGGATATAAAGTTCCTTTCTCAGAATGGTTTTAAATTTGAAAATGAATCAAGTCTTTCAAGATATTTATCATCATGGAAAACAATGAACTTGCATGAGTACATTTAAGAGGTAATGACCGATTCTAAAACTATAACTAGAAGCTTGCATGTTATGTACTGGACACTTATTTGTAGGAATATATACATGTACATGTACTCAACTAGCAGATTCAAAATTTAATGCAAATTTTTTTAAGCAGTCATGCTTCTCATGAAAAATTGTAATCAGTATTTTGAATACAAGCAGTTGCATACTTTGCTGTATAATATTATATGGACTGTAGGACATATGAAAATCTAGGAAAAAAAAGAGAAAATGCAGTGGTTTTATAAAAGAAAGTACCAGTAACAGGTTATAGGTTAATTCTTTTTCCAAGAGTAAAATGCTTTTTTATCTAAAGACCAATATTAAAAAGACAATTTTTCAGGATGAGAAAAGTCGTATAGAAGCTCTAGGTGGAGTTGTCCTGTACATGGGAACATGGCGGGTCAATGGCAATCTGGCTGTGTCCAGGGCTATAGGTAACCACAGTAATAATGGGAAACACAGTCTGAAGTAAGGATTGGTCTGTCATCATAACTGTTCAACATTTTCCATTAGATTTAGAAAAAAAATATCTATGGTACCAAATCTATGATATCAGTTTAGCAATTGGCTGATTATTTTGAATTGCAAGTGGTGGAAAGAGATTATTTAAATCATTGATTGATGCATTCAGAACTGAAAATTTCCATCTAATTGAAACGAGCTCTGTGTATTGGACATGTCAATTTTTCAATGAGAAGTCAGAAATGATTTAGATTCCAATCCAAACTTCAGGCTTTGTTTCCCATAAAATAATACTGCAGTCATTGAAACATGGTCATTTTTTTTGACAGGATGAGCGGGCTAGGATTGAAGCTTTAGGAGGGTTCGTTCTTAATGTCAGGGGCACTTGGAGGGTCAATGCCATTCTGTCTGTTGCACGATCGATAGGTAAATCGTGTGCCAAGTTTAAGGGTGAAGAGTTCCATTGCTGTGGCATTGACATTTTATGTTAGAAGTTATGTATGTACTTTTATGTACATATATGATGAGCTGCTAAGAATTAGGCTTCAATAATGCTAGAATGCTAACAAATGAATAAGACATTTTGAACATAAGATATGAGTTTGCAGTTGAATTAACAAAGGTATTAACTGAACATTGTAATTAATATATTAGAATTTGCTTTAATTTTTAAGTATTGGCTCAGGAAAAAAAAAACAAAGATTTGCTAGGAGTTTTAGATTTAGAAAAAGATACAGAGAAAAGAAGAAATTTTACACTTAATGAAATGTTTTAGTGATGTACAACACAATATGCACCAATTGTCGACACAGCTGGTATACGTGGAAAGTGGCAGGCACATTCACCAAAATCAATAGTGATATAAATGAAAAGCAGGGTTTTTTTTATATGTTGTGTCTTAATAAGTTCAATGTTATGTAAATTACACAGGGAAGTTCTTGTCTGTCAGTGTTTGAAGAATCAGGAAATAAACAAATGTGAAAATTCATTGTCATATTATGTAATCAAAATAAGGAAGACTTGAGAATTTTTTAGTTATTTCATGTGAGAAGATACACCAGTTTGAGTAATATGATAAATCAATTTACTTTGTTAAAAATACATCAGAAGAATATTTTTTGAGATTATACCCTCACTTTCTGAGGAAGATTTAGGTACAGTACACTGTTATCTCCATTTGTCTGCAGTCAGTCATTTTCTTGTCGTGCATTAATTCTCCTCCTGCATTAGTAGCCAAATCTTTCATTATTCAAGGGATGGCAAGTCTTGCATTATCTTAATTTGAATCTGTGCTATATATTGAATCTTTCATTAGCAAGTGGGCCAGTGAATTGAGTGAAAGGGATTTCTTTTTTTTTGAAATGACCTCACTCTAAAGTCAAATATAAATATCATTAATGACAGTAACTTCTAGTTTTATGAAAGGCATGAGGTGGATAAGATTATTGTAATTTTCTTGGCAAAAGGAAAAGAGCTGCTTCACAAAAATTCAGTTTGATAATTCCTCAATTTTTTTGTTGGTTTTATTTATTTATTTTGTTTGTTTGTTTTTGTTGTTGTTAGCTCACCTGAGCCGAAGGCTCAAGTGAGCTTTTCTGATCACATTTCGTCTGTAGTCCATCTGTAAACTTTTCACATTTTCGACTTCTTCTCCAGAACCACTGGTCCAATTTCAACCAAACTTGCCACAAAGTATCCTTGGGTAAAGGGGATTCAATTTTGTTCAAATGAAGGGCCACACCTTCTTCCAAGGGGAGATAATTAAGAATTCGTGAAAAATTAATGGCATCATTAAAAAATCTTATTCTCAAGAACCACTGTGCTTGAAAATATGAAACTTATGTGGAAGCATCCTCAGGTAGTGTAGATTCAAGTTTGTTCAAATCATGACCCCTGGGGTTTGGGTGGGGCCACAATGGGCGATCAAAGTTTTACATAGGAATATATAGGAAAAATCTTTAAAAATCTTCTTCTCAAGAACAGCAAAGCCATGATTGGTCATATTTATATGGTAGCATCCTCAGATAGTGTAGATTCAAGTTTGTTCAAATCATGACCCCCGGGGGTCGGGTGGGGCCACAATGGGCGATCAAAGTTTTACATAGGAATATATTGGAAAAATCTTTTAAATTCTTCTCAAGAACAGCAAAGCCATGATTGGTCATATTTTTATGGAAGCATCCTCAGATAGTGTACATTCAAATTTGTTCAAATCATGACCCCAGGGGGTCGGGTGGGGCCACAATGGGCGATCAAAGTTTTACATAGGAATATATAGGAAAAATCTTTAAAAATCTTCTTCTCAAGAACGGCAAAGCCGTGAAATGTCATATTTACATGGTAGCATCCTCAGGTAGTGTAGATTCAAATTTGTTCAAATCATGACCCCCAGGGGTCAGGTGGGGCCACAATGGGCGATCAAAGTTTTACATAGGAATATATAGGAAAAATCTTTAAAAATCTTCTTCTCAAGAACGACAAAGCCATGATTGGTCATATTTACATGGTAGCATCCTCAGGTAGTGTAGATTCAAGTTTGTTCAAATCATGACCCCCGGGGGTCGGGTGGGGCCACAATGGACGATCAAAGTTTTACATAGGAAAATATAGGAAAAATCTTTAAAAATCTTCTTCTCAAGAACGACAAAGCCATGATTGGTCATATTTACATGGAAGCATCCTCAGATAGTGTACATTCAAATTTGTTCAAATCATGACCCCCGGCGATAGGGTGGGGCCACAATGGGCGATCAAGTTTTACATAGGAACACATAATAAAAATCTTTTAAAAAAACTATTTCTTAAGAACAGCAAAGCCATGATTGGTCATATTTATATGGAAGCATTCTTAGATAGTGTACATTCAAGTTTGTTCAAACACGACCCCTTGGGGTCGCGTGGGGCCACAATGGGTGATCAAAGTTTTACATAGGAATACATAGGTTAAATTTTTAAAAATCTTCTACTTAAGAACAGCAAAGCCATGATTGGTCATATTTAAATGGAAGCATCCTCAGATAATGTAGATTCAAATTTGTTCAATGACCCCCCCCCCCCCCAACCACTTTTATATTTAAACTTTTCAACCTTTCAAGACTGCGCTGATTTCTGCTTTTTCCTAGCCATAGTGCACAGGTGAGCGATGTGGCCCCTGGGCCTCTTGTTTTTGGTTTGGTTTTGTTTGTTTTTTAAATTTTTGAGGACAAGATTTTAGTTAAACACATGTTGATTGCAACTAAATGGGAGGAAATGAGTAGCTGAGCAAACAAAAAAATGTTACAGGTGGTTATGTTCCAAATTTGTGTCCAACCCAAGTAGTTTCATTCAAATTAAATTCAGGCAAAGGTGTAAAGAAGTTTTTTGCAATCCCCGGCGAAATTCTTAACAATTCTTAGTAAAATTTTACAGATATAACAAACTCGCGGATGCAGCAAATTTACAGTGATAGCAAACTGATTTTGTGTCACATAGAAGTTAAAAATAACAAAATTTACATCTTTTGTAATGATTTTTCAAAGATCTTAATTTTAAAATATTGAACTGACATTAATTTTGTACGCATTTATATTTGACTCTATTTGTCCAAAAACTTTTGAACCCAAAGTAAATTTTGTATTATACTTTCAGTAGTCATAATAAAGGGAAAAAAAATCTATTTTTGGAATGTGTTATGTATACTGTAGGGAATTCATTATACAGATATAATGAATGACAGATAAAGTGATGTAAATTCGCAGGTTCCTAGAACTTGGCTATAACCGAGTTTTACTGTACAGTGGATAAACGTATAGAAATCAGTCGGTCTTAGGTAATGGAAGTATTTTTTATGCAGCATAGAATTAGTATGCAAAGTTTTAATTAGGTTCAACTAATGCAAAAAGAGTTGCTGTGGTAAGATATTTATATGGCTTTTGAATGAAATAGGTACATGTTAAAATAAGTCACAGAAAAAGCAAAAAGCATAATCACAGAATAGCAGTATGATTTTTCACAGAAAAGCAGGATTTTTTAGTGGAAAAGCAGTGTCGAATTACAGAAAAGTGAAAAAGCCATGATTCTTCACAGTTACAGTAAAATTAACTCATTTAGTACAATCAAGGATAGAGTGAATTCACAGATATAGCGGAGTTTTTGGATAAACAATGGTATGGGAAGTAAATATCAGTATATGTATACAAAACATAAAAATATGTAAAAAAAAATTATTGCACAGTCACAGATACCAATACATGTAATATATATTTTATATATAGACTATAAACCTGTATTTTTACTACATGTTTTTCAATTTGGAATAAAACAACTTGGGTTGTACACTAAATCAGAAAATAACTTCTGGCATTCCATGGGGAAGTATAGAGCAAAATTAACAAGTATTTTTGAACCTCTTAAACGTAATTGACACAGAGAGAAATCTGTCAATTCTCTGTTGAGGAGACTGTGAACAGTGAATGTACTAATAATTTTTATGCCCCCGAATCGAAAGATCCCAGGGGTGTATTGTTTTTGTCCTGTCTGTCTGTTTGTCTGTCTGTCTGCCTGTTTGTCTGTCTGTCTATTGTCAACTTTAACCTAGCCCATAACTATTGCGCTGTCAAGGGTAAGGCTTTAAATATTTGACATGAGTGTTCATTATGACAAGACCTTTCCATTGGTACAGAAATTTTTGATCATGTGACCTCAACTGTGACCTTTGACCTACATTTGAAAAACTTTAACATTGGCCATAACTATTGCACTGTAGTCTACGTCCCACTCCAGAATTGTGTTACCATCGGGGGCATAGTGTTTCACAAACACATCTTGTTTTTATATGTGTACATATTACACTGTTAAAGAAACAAATTATATTATCAAATCTTTACAGCATTAACAAATGTTTTTTATTTTATAGGAGATATCAGCCAAAAGAAGTTTATCTGCAGCGACGCGGACACAACTGTCCTAGAATTAGAGGGTACTGAAGATTATATCATTCTCGCCTGTGATGGCATGTGGGATGGTATATCACAGAATGACGTACCAAAAATAGTATACGACCATCTGCAGAAAACTAATGGTGATAAGTCCAGTGTAGCTAAGATGTTGGTAGAATTAGCAAAAGAAAACGGGTCAACAGACAATATAACTGTAGTGATAGTATTTCTCAGGGATGAAATAGCAGAACCAGCTGTTATGCCAGTATTTTCATTTGACAAGATTTCTAGTTCTCAGGGAGATGACAAAACAGATGACGTTGATGGCAAAAAAGACTGTGACTCTTTTTCCGAAAAGGGAGATAACTCTAAAAATTCCTCCTCCGATGGCAATACAGAAGCTGGCAGCAATAAGCCGAAGGAAGAAGTGGACAATATAGAACAACAGGAAACTCAGGAACAAAACAACTCAGATAAACCAGAAAATACTCCTCTTCCCACTGACCGTGTACTGAAGAAAGAACCTGTGTTCATTATTGCAGACTCTGCACCTCAGATTTCAGAAAACAAACCTAGAAGCCCTTCACCTGAACCCGAAGATTTTATTCCAGATGAAAGTAAACCAGTGGAAGATAGTGCTGTTTCAAAAGATCTCACCCTTTCAGAAACTATTCCACCTCATCAAGAGTCTGCAAGTGCTCAGAAAACTTCAGGTAATAGTTTACCAGTGGAAATTGGATTGTCCACATTCATGTCCTACCTACCCAGTCAGGGAAGTACAATCTCTGAATTCAGGCATGGTTTGCAGGGCAGCAGGAAACCTAGTGCTATGTCCAGTTCTTTAGCAACTATGCATGAAGATTTTCCAATTGTTTCCAATTATGTAATTCAGGATGAAATATATAGAAAAAAAGATATCGGAAAGAAAAAACCAAAACGAAACAAGAATCCCAAAATTCGGGAGCAGAGTCGCAATGGTCAGTATGTTGTCCCAAGAAGGGGGAAGAAAAAAGCTGATGGGTCTACACCAATAGTATGGGCTTTTACTGGAAAGAATACAGCTTCTGTAAGGAATCATAAGCTCAGTTCTCTAAGGAATTCTCAGAATTCCTCCCGAGTCATACTGGCTAACATCCTAAACAGTGGTGCAGTTGATCCAAGCATTCCATCCCAGACAAGTGCAGACATTAAATTTCTAGAAAAAATGTCAAAGTCTAAGCATTTCGTTGACCCTGAGCAGCCAAATGCTGAAGAGATTCCAATGCCCCACACCGTCTTTGATTACCCATTGTCCACTTTCACAGCATCCTCCAATTTCAAAACTAAATCTACCTCAACTCCCAAGTCAAAATCATCTCAAGCCAGTCAACCAAAAACCAATCCGAAAACTGTCCCTGCTTTCCACCAATCCTGGCGCCCACGAAAATTGTCGAAATTAAATACAGGAGGTGCCCTGGCTGAACCTCCCCCTACTCCATTCTCCAATGTCAAGATAAACCCATCATCTGAGTGTTCTGATTGAAGCAGAGCTTTATACACCAATTATCTATTTTAATTATTTATGCATGCTTACAATCAGTTTGCATAGACCATCAGTGTTATTAATTTTTTAAAGCAATAATTTGATAATCGTATTGATTTTGCTCATCTAAATACTTACGAATTGTCCCCCTTTGTGCATTTATTCTCACACTTTATAAGCAGTGCTTCCTCAATGTAGATAAACATTGTGATACTTTAGCAGTGACTGCTGAATTTTTTTTAACTATTTTGTCATTGTTTTTCATTTTAGTTTGTGAGAAGAAAAAACAACAGGTGATGTAATGTTTCACTGTACTTCATGGTTTGATGTGTTCTAACATTTTTTTTTCTTTCTGTATATTATTTTGTTATTATGGTGTGAGTGGTGTCTTATTGGTGTATAACCAGGCAGCATTTAGTATAATCCAGGAATGATGTAAACAATTGGTGCTTTTCAACATGTAAGCCTATCATCATTCTTAAATTAACATTTTTTCATTTTTTTTTTTACCTTTGTTTCTGCAAAGGCATCAGAAATGATCATTACCATATTCTACTACTGTAAAAGTAGGCTCAAGTTCTGGTGGTTTGAAAAATTGATTTATTTTAGGAAACAATTGTCATATTTGATTTGTTATAACATTTTTTCATTAAAAGAAGTCATCTGTTTTCTATATTAAGCACATTCTAGTCACACAACTTTTTAATTTATCTCTGAATTTTTCAGAACGTGCGCCAGTTTTTTTTTTTTTTTTTTTAAAAATATTTAATTATTTTATCGTTTACTTCACAAAGAGTTAATAAGGGATCACTCAGAGAACCAAATATGATAGAAATTGAAATACAAAACAAATTATAATTAATATTATAAAGATAGGATACAATCATACAGTAATTAAATCAACAAAGTACTTGTTGTTAGCTAAATAAGATAATTAAGACCAACAAGATTGATTTTAAAAAGCTGTGTTTAAATGTTTAAGAGGTCATGTAAATTTGGTCGTGGGTTACTAAATACCAGGGTAATCTGTTATTCCTACTTGACATGCACACTCATTCACATGAAATTTTTGTCATTTCTAGAAGTTAATATCTTGAACTTGACTTGAACTGAATAATCCAGCACACTATTCTGTGTATGTGTTATGTATGTGTGACAAAAGGTAATGGGTTCTGGTGATCTAATGGCTTTTATTATCTTTAAAGAATTTTTCTCATAAAAATATAAAGTTTGCATATGATATGGTTTATATTTTCAATTTGATTAAAAAGAAATTGCCATAAGAATTGAAGAAATTCAACAACCAATTAAAGATTTTTTTTTTATTGAGATCAATTTCAGAACAAAAGTAAGGTTGTTCAATCTTTAAGTAAATTATAAGCATGTTTAATACATGTACAACCTACATTGTGATAGAACATTGATAAAAACAACAGTTGCAGGTCATTGTGGGTTTCATAAATTCATTGGTATTATTAGTCAGAGATTGGTCAGAGATCAGAAGAGCTTATGCAATAGTGAGGTGTCCTTTGTCTACCAATCTGTCTGTTTGTAAACAATTTTTCAAAAATTTACTCCTCCTACAGTGTTGGTCCGATTTCAATAAAACTTGTTGTACAAGCAGACTGTACTATGATACATAATAATAATTATCAGTTTTTGATTTCATCGAACAGTGTTGCCATGGTTACAAAAAATAATAATTTCTGTGAAATTCTTTCAAAACGCTACTCCATCTACAGATTTAGTATGATTTCAATAAAAACTTGTTCCTGCAGGAGGCAATACTAATTAAAGTACATAATTCTTTGCAACAGTTTTCAATTTTGATGGATGGTGTTTCTTTGGTTTCATTAACTTTTTATACACAATTAGACTACACTATGATACATAATTCTGTGTGTTGGTTTTTGATTTGCTGAATGGTGTTGCCCTGGTTACTAAAAATAGAAATTTTTGTTAAGTCCTTTCAAAATGCTACTCCTGCTACAGTTTTAGTCTGATTTGAATAAATCTTTCTACACAGAATACACCAAGATACATCCATTTATTGGTTATTGATTACAGTAAACATGATACAGTGTTGCAATGGCTACTAAAAATAGAAATTTCTGTGAAATTGTTTGAAAATACTCCTCCTCCTACAAGTTTGGTCTGATTGCAATAAAATGTTTTACACATTCTGTATATCAATGTTTGATTTTGATGAATGATGTTACCATGGTTACTTAAACTAGAAATTTCTATAAAATTCTTTCAAAAGGGACTCCTACAGTTTAAGTCCAATTTCAGTGAAACTTGCCACACAAAGAATATTTATTCTGTTGCCATATTTTCAAGTCCATGTGCTACTTTTCCTTTGTTTTGATACAAACCAGCAGAGCTACAGTCTCACCAGAGACTTCTATTTTTTTTTGGGGGGGGGGGGGGGGGGGGGGTCTTCCAGTCTTTTTCTCACCTAGTGGAATATATGATTTCCAGCAGGATATGGTAATTGTACTTAAAATTGCTTATTTTTAAAGGTACTTTTTTCTTCATGTTTATTATGAAAGATTGGTCCATTTTACATAGACAAGTACATTTTTATTTTTTTTTTAAATATAACATGCTTTAATAAATGTATGGTTATTATATGTGTTATAAGCATTAGTACATGATACTGGTGGTAAATGGTAATATTTTTGTTTAAAAAGTCATGGTAATATTTTTGTTTAAAAAGTCAAAGATGGGTTTATTTTCAAATGAAATATTTATCCAATATAAATTTGTATATGTATTTCTATCTATCATAACTTAAAAGTATTGTGTATTTCTGTAAGTTAAAAAAAAATCATGAAGTGTAATTAAAAAAATACCAAAAACAAAAAAAAAAAACATTATCATGATAATACATAAGCATGTGAATGTGAAATGTTCATAATATGGACTGGGTAGGTTGCTAGTTTGAAACATGAAATGTAATACAGGCCTGTAGCAACGGTTTCAAAAGGGGGGGGGGGGGGCTCCCAAGAAATCTGACAAGCAAAAAAAAAAGCCAAACAAACAAACTCTTAACTCTTCATAAAGTGCTGGTGATGGGTGGGGTAAGCACAAAAAAAAACTCTTAACTGTCCAAATTATAGAATTTGCCAGTGCTCAACCTTACAGCAACAAAGAGTGTGGGGGGAGGGGGGCAAGCGGCATCTAAATGAAAATGTACTATAGCAAAATACTATATTCAGAAAAAAGTGCACCCCTCCCCACCCACATTTTACTGGCATGTAATGTTAGAGAGAAGACATATATTTTTATGCTAAATGATAAGCATTTTATTAATGAGAAGCATCTTACAAATAAGGGAATACAATTATTGAATTTGTTGTGGATTATATCTGTGTGAAAAACACACTTTGAAATTTTTGGACTTGGATTTGCTTGCAAAATGAAATAGCAAAATAAGAGTAAGTTGATTGTATGGTAATGGATATGATAACTCATAACTATTTATAAATCAAAAGGTTTTCTAGAAAATTACCTTTAAAAACTTGTTTTCTAGTTTTATGTATGTGAAGTCTTGATTAAATCCCCAAAGTCATTGATAGTACTTAAAATAGTTGAAAACCATAATAATGCAGGAGACTTACAAATCATCCTATGTTAATTCATTTTAATTTCATTGATATTGAAATAGACAATTACCACAAGCCAGTCATTTAATTTTAATTCCTAATGATATTGTTTGTTTGTTTTTTTTTGTATTGGTTTGATGTTTTGTTGTTTGACGTGTTATTTGTTTCTGAATGAGTTATAGAGAAGATCATGTAAATGTAGCCTATGGATCTTGTAGCCATATTGTTATTGTTATAATCTGTATACACCTGCTAATATTATACACAGTAAATACTCCTATACAATCATAAGAATGAGTTTTTTTCTTTGGACAAAAATTTGCGTTGACAGGAACTTATTTTTCTCCAAAGATTTGCCATTTTAAAAACATTGCTCAGGAAAGTAGAGGTGCAGAATCTGAAACAGTCCTTTCACTAGATAAAAAAAATCTATTTCTCTATCATTTCAGCTTATCAGATTTTCAATCTGTCCAATTACTGACTATTTCTTTGATATTTACATATCAGTTCTACAGAAAAACAAGATGTGTTTGTGAAACACTGATGCCCTCATATGGCAGCTCAAAGCCAAGGTTACACCAACCATTCAAAATTTATGGTCCATGTTAAAGTTTTTCAAATGGAGGCCAAACTCCAAGGTCAAGAGTTCAAAAATGTTAGTACCCGAAGATAGGTCTTATCATACACATGTGAAATATGAAAGCCCTAGCACCAACCATTCACAAAATATGGCCAAGGTAAATGTTTTTTCAAAAGTAGGTCATATTCCATGGTCATGATAACAAAAATGGATAGGTTTTGTCACAATTGGAACATAAGTGAAATATGGAAGCCCATGCACAACTGATCAAAAATTAAAGACAAAGTTAAAGTTTTTTTTCAAATGTAGATCAAAGTCAAGGACAAAAATTTTGATATCCAAAAAAGGCCTTGTCACAAGGAATATATAAGTGATATATGAAAGCCCTAACACCCACCATTCAAAAGTTATGGCCAAGGTTAAAGTTTTTCAAAAATAGGTCAAGGTAAAAAATGTTGGTACCTTCAAAAAAGCTCTGATTACAAGGAATACACATGTGGAATGACAAACCCTAGCATCAACTCTTCAAAAGTTATGGCTAAGGTTAAAGTTTGGTAAAATTTTGCAAAAGTAGGTCAACTCCAAGGTCAAGAGGTCAGCTATGTTGGTACCAAAAAAGGGTCCTGGCAAAAGATCAAGAGGCCAAATATGTTGGTACCAAAAGATAGGACTTGACACAAGGAGTACACTTCTGAATTATGAAAGTCCAAGCACCAACCATTCAAAAGTTAATGGACAAGGTTAAAGCTTTTGCAGACAGATGGACAGACCAAAAGCTATATGCCTTTGAATCATCGATTACGGGGGCATAAAACTGTTTGACACCTTTTCAAATCAAAGGAGTTTCATTTACATGTATATAATTTTAAAAAAAAACGTACTCTATACATGTATCTTAAATCGACATTGGTATTTAATATTCTGTTGGAATCCCTTTCTGCCTTTTCTCTAGAACAGATATGTTGAATTTTCCCTTTTGGTTTATCA